CAGTTGACTCTCTAGTTCGAGACTTCTCAAGTTCATTTGTTCAGCACAAGACGTGCTTTTATCATCTGTGTCATTGTGCATGTCATAAAGTCCAAGGGCCTAGCCCCGTCGCTACGTGGAAGTCGAAGATTTTATCTCGTACGTTGAAAATCCGTATGATGACCTGTCTTGGATTCGTACCTTTGGATGACGTCAGCAAGGTGTTCCATGAGTTGCTCGAAACTATGCCAGATAATGCTGGTCCAATTACGACATATTTACGGGAGGCTTACCTCGATCGCAGAAGGTCACGTGGAAGGCCCCGAACTTCTCCGCTCTATAAATCTGCCTGGAATGTTTCTCAGCGCAATCTGGAGGGAGACCCTTGTTCAGCAAATTAAATTGAGCATGGCACAGGCGAATGTCTTGCTTGTTTGCCGATCATATGAATATTTTTGCCTTCATTCAGCGGCTCAAGAAAGAACTAGCAGTAACGGAACAGAAAATCATGCAGTTTGAGGCCGGAAACATCATTCGAAAGAAAACAACAGACACTAGGATAGACGAGCGGATGCTCAAAATCCCTGAAGACAGTGGCAACCGCCTGAACATGTCCTTCCTAAGAGGGTTGTCACACAATATTGCCCTGTGATATTGCTCTTGAAATTCACATGACTACCTTTCTAACTTGAGATTACTTGAAATTTCGACATTTCTACATTCAGCATGTCATTCGATGTTCCCTACCTTCGAGATTGAATTCGACATTCGAAATAAAAGTTCCCCATTCGGTATTCCGTGCCTTTCGATAAAAAATTCGACTTTTCATCCTTTCACTCTAGGATGTATTCTGCATTCAACTGAATGCAGAATACATTAGATGCTGACCGGATTCTACAGGGTGTCCTCTAAGTCCTGTTACCCCTATGCTCTTTTTTCTAAAATGCATTGAGCAACAACTGAAACATGTGGAACGATGATGATAAATCATCAGCAGTTTATTCCACACAATGATGATAATTGCATTTAGAATTCCAGAGGATTGGTTCCAACGCCGTCATTTTCATGGCCGAACATGGCGACGGATCATTCCCTGTCATGAAAATGACGACACTCACACCGATCCTGCGGATCTCTAAATGGAATTATCATTGTGTGATATAAAATGGTGAATTATCATCATAGTTCCGCATATTTCATTTTTTCTCAATGCATTGTAGAAAAAAGCATGGGGGGTAACAGGATTTAATGGACAGTCTGTTTGAGACGAGGCCGTCTCCCAGATTCCCTTGGAACTCCATCGACAAGTTTGAGACTAGCTCTGTCCTTCCCACCACAGAAGGAACCAGGCTCTGTCCTCCCCACCACAGAAGCCTCCTGAATGAAGGGGGGAATCGCGTGCGACCTCTTACTCCTCTTCGAACCCCAGAGACGATCGTGCCGAACGTGAAACCGCAGAGAGAAACGGTGATCGAGCTGGCTTCTGGGTCCTGTAGATTCTGGGGGACTAGGCAGGAACGGTTCATCAACTTCTTGGGACCAGCGCATTTATTCATCGGTGATACATCCGTTCGGAATGGATGCATCAGCTGTCACTGAATCGATCGTTCTTTTCTTCGTATCGTATTGTAGTAGCTAGCGCCGATTTGTGAAGGTTCCGCATGAAATCTTGGATGGGTTTCATAAAGTTGCAATCTCTCATCGCCCGTTTCCCCCTTGTGTCACATTGCGTACAAGCTCCTTTCCCGAAAAAAATTCTGTGAGAATATTCGCTGTCGCCGTTCTCTTTATTCCAGCATGGGAAAGCAAGGTCTCCAACCTATTAGATGTTACATTATACGTATCTTCCTCTTCGCTGATGATCAGGTAGGGTATTGTCCGGTTGGCTCTTCATTCAAACTTCAGAGCTGCTACTCGATAATAAAAAATTTTTAATCCGAATATTCGATCGATTACCTTCGGGCAACTTCGGAAGCTTTTGCTTTTATCGCATGATTGGAGAAGTGGTAGAAACATTTTCGAGTTGAAGCTCACATGCCTGTTTCCTGACGGGCGCAATCCATGTCAAAGCGTCCAGAATCGGGGCTCGATCGTTAGGAATTTTAAATTTATTTAGAAACGTTCATGCTCTTTGTTCACGCCCTTTGATATTGCAGAGAACAGTATTAATCCATTATTTTAGTTTACTAGGTCAAATCGTTCTCAAAATAACGCGGTCAAAATTCTGCTAAAATGGCTGACATGATAAAATATTATAATTTCTTACATAGCATTTTGTGACAGTACAATGCCGCAAAATATTCAAGTTTTTACGCTAAAACCTTCTGTAATAGGTCAAATAAAAGCTCAAGAAAAGAGCTTTCCAATGATTTCCAATAATATGTACGTAAATTAAATCAGAAATATTTATAAATATGTTTAAACAGTCCAACAATTTTCCCCACATTCACTCACTATTACCCGATGCTAGGGAGAGAGGGGGGGGGGGGGGGGGGGGGGGGGGGGGGTAGTGGCAATAGCTTTAGAATCCTGGTGGACTTCTTTGTTTTTAGATAGCTCTAAAAGGTGTAATTTAAATTGAATTATTTTTTTTTTAATCCAGTGAGAAAAAAAAGTAGACATCTTAGCAGTTTTAAGTAAACTTTGACCCGATTTCATAATCGCCCTTACCATACAGTGATCATGAAGTAAGTGTCCGACTTGAAAGCACCATAGCACTTATGCTAGGAGAAGTAGGATGTTGCTACGATAAGTGGCACATGGGAGATCAATTTCATCATTTACAAATCTTTCCACCGTGAAGTCACCATTTCATAATTTGCCTATTACCCAAAAATGCCGTGGGATATCATAAGGAGCACGATATTACCGTTATCTGTTTCAGTCATCAGGGAAAATCGAGAAATCATGAAGCACCACTCCAATATGTTAAAAACGAATTTTTTTTCCCCGGATCAGGTGCACAAGAAAATTTTTAGACTTGGCTGATCCAGAAAGGTTCAGAATGTGGCCACAGTTAAGAGAACATTATTCAAATATGCTTGGGCGTGGGAACGTTACAAGTTTTTAATTTATCACTTTAAATAGCTGTGTATGAAAACATGCGGAACATATTTGGGATTTGAGACGAGTCAGATATAGCACCGAACGAAATTATTGCAACACTATGGATATAAGATCATCACAAAAAAACATCATGAAGGAGTTAAGTGATCTTGATGCAACTTACTACATGCAATCCGAGCAGTGTGAATCGAAAACGAGAGGAATTTCAACGCGTAAGATGATTCACTCACAGGCAGCTCGCTTCGAGTAATCATGGGTAATGGTAGGTGAAAATGTGAACAAAATTTAATATCTCAACATTTTAATGTTTATTGCTTCATTTCCTTACAAGTAACAAATCCTTGGAAGCTGCCACACTGATCTCATACCTTGAGACCCCGTCTGCTGAAAATGGAAATGCAAAGTAGCCGCTAACGTCTTGTGAAGGGCCGTCTTTTCTAGGTCTTTTCGCCTGATTTATGCATAAAAAACCGACCGATTCACTCAATCCACTTGGCCTGACAACACCATCTGGTGACTGGCCGCGGATCCATCCAACCCTCTGATCTCTTATATTTCAACCGCATGACTCAACCATCACCGACCGACCATCATCAATCTCTATATCCCCATCTGTATATTCCACTTCATATCCTTCTCTGTAAAGGGCATGCCTTGTAAATAAGGGTCATTGAACAAAAAAAAACTTAATCTACTTGGAGAAACTACATTTCCTTTCGTGGCGATAAAAGAGGCATGCGAACTCACATTTTCTCAATTGCCATAGAACTGCATTTATGCTTCTGGGCTTTTAAATAAGTTGAACACCAATAAAGTATTCCATGACTAATTACGCAGAAATGGCGATGTTCCTTGCAGTTGGCAGTAGCTTTGAAGTCACGAGTGCAAACTATTAGTGTCACATAAACATTTTCCTCGCAGATGTTTGAACCCGGAGAAAGTCAAAGAAAAAGTGCCGTGCGACTTTCCTGAATGCAGGGCTATATTTGAAGATGTTAATTGGATGAGAAGATGGAGAAAAGCTGCACCCAGGATACTGGCCGAGTGGGGCAACCCCAACCAAATGAGAGTCACCCACCCCTGCTCGTATCAAATCCAGTGGGGTTCCCAGGGTATTCTTTTTGGCGTTTAAAATGTTGTCGTGTTGGTTAAGCTGCTACTGAGAGAAGAGCAGCTTTACGTGCTATTGCATTTAAAGTTAGGATTCATTTGTCTGCCCTGAGTCTCTGAGATATGCTTTGGTAAGTGAAACATCAATGTACATTGAAGAGGGGGAACACGGCTCCCACTGTATTCCACCACTGCATATGTGGCATGGAATATCTATATTTTGGAATCTGTCTTCAATCATATTCTGCTTTCTCACTCTAGACCGGGACGGCAACAAGGAAGTATGCGAGTAAAATTCAAAGCACTTTATTCGATTTTTCTTTTTTTTCCCCCGACTCCCTTGGGATCACCCCACACACTCCCAAAGCCGGGTGGGGCAGCTGCACATTGATGGTAGGCAAGTCACTAAGGAAAGAAATGTTTCAGTCGGTAACATAGGACTGACAGGTCTGACTGGCCCAATCGAAGAAATGTGGTCAGAAAATTTGGTATGATCAGAACTCACTCCTTATTCAGCGATACTTCCTTTTTGCACTGCAACGACAGAGGCAATTTTACAAGCCACAAATTAATCGCTTTCCTTATACCCTTGGTATAACAATACTGACTAATGAATTGCCTGCCATTTCAGACTATTTAAGTCTCAAATGAATACCATGACTAGTTTGGCATATTTCCCTTGTGTGTTGAAAAAATTGGAGAATTTTGAAGCAGCAGCGTTTCGCTGAAAGAGGATCAAAGTACTGTGGTGGCTCACAAATTGGCAGAGACTTGCATTCGTATGCCTTGTTTTGAGTAAGCAGGAATGACAGGACAACAGAAGAGTGAAACAGCAAAGCAACCAATGTCGATATCATTTTTTAATTCAAGTTTTTACTCAGAAATCAAAAGTAGGAACATGAAAGACAACAAAATCACAAAATCTAAAGGTTTACCCATAGCATTACACCATGACTGACAATGGATAATAGAGATCATGAGTCAGTTTCACTTGGGTTATGGATGCCATCAATGACTGATGCACAGAAATCACAGGATAGCCATGGCTTCACACAAAGATATGTCATCAAAACTTTTGACATCTCAGGATATGCAAACAAAATATGAACAGAGAAATCAATCAAATACTGCAGAGCATTCAGTCTGAAGTTCGTGGTTGCAGAAGCAGGGAGAAGATATGGACTAGATCACAAATGGACTGCTGTTTCCCCTGTTGATGCATCTCCTTCCATGCTCCTCACTCTGATACTTCACGAAGTTTATGAACACCTGCAATAGACATAAAATAGTTCTCAACTTTTATGACATCATGAATCAGTTCAATTCTTCCAAAAATGCTGCAAGCCCTGCAACTTCAGAAATGTGCTTCCCCCACCTTCCAAATATCTTTCTACTCCTTGGTTTCCCCACCTCCTTGCATTACCATGCCACCCCCGCCTCATTGAGCTTCTCTCACCTCATCAGCAGAATTACCAGGAGTTTCAAAAGTTTGAAAAGTTCAAAATAATGTCACAACATAGAAAGGAAAGCACTGGAGGTAGAAAGAGTTTGAACAATTTGACAAAGAATGATGGCTTCCAGGACAAAAGAGGCCTTTCTTGCATCCAAAATTTTTCAGAATCTCCCCTTGAAGTATGCAAGAAGTATCCATTCAAACATTTGCATTCTTTGTTAGCTTCAAGCCTTGAAAAAACTGGCAGCACATACACCACAAGGGAGTTTGTACAATGTACATCCATACCATAAACTGCTTTAAAACTCCTGATATATTTGTGCAACAGCTTCACTCAGTCCTCAATGGTTTGTGCATCTACATAATGAGGATGAATTCTGATGATTCAGAAGGTTGTGGCATCCCAGGTCTTACCATGTTACAGGGGACTTCTATTGAGGGTGATGCCATCAAGTTATCCTGTGAAGGAGACTATAGAAAAATGAATTCCTGACTTGCTTACACTGTCAAGTGTGTTCTGAGACACAGAATAGCCCTTGATTGGGAGCTCCGAAAGGGCATATTCCAGCTTCTCAAAGATTTCGGCCAAAGATATATCTGACGACTTCATCTCATACAGGAGCATACTGTGATGCCGATCCTATGAATGCAAACAGGAATTAGTGCTAAAAGTTCATGCAAGACATATCCTGAGTCAACCCTAAGAAAATTCAAGTGAAATATAAGTGAAGTGTATTCCACTAGAATAGACTCATGTTATACATAGAACTGTGATTGGACAAAAGGCCAGACAAGGAATGATATATATAAGAGTTTACCCTGAGGAAGAATCTCTACATGAAAACAGATTGACTCAATCAAGAAACTTTGCATGGTTATTACTTACTGCATAAGAGTCACTCAGAAAGTTAGCAGATGCAGGCAAACCAAGATTTAGAAGTAGAACTTATACTAGGATGGAAGTTGAAGATGAGTCATGCACATGGTCTTCAATGTCACCACCCTATAATGTGTTTAAAGCATCCAAGAGGATTTAAACTATCAATGGCTGTTATGTTATCCATGCAGCTCACTAAAGAGAATTCTTGAGTTACAAAATTGTGTGACTTCAAATGCAGCTTAAAAAGAGTATTAGTGCCTGGGAAAAGGGAAGAAATAAGCTGGAAAAATGAGGTTTAGGTTTAAATGTTAATTGCTGCCTCATCCTCAGAAGATTTGTCACTCTCCTCAAGATGGACGACAATTGGCTCCATTCCTTGATCTTCATTCTCTTCTTGTCTGATGTACTTCTTTAAATTTTTTTACATAAGCTGAATTATATATTTGCAAATCTAAGGTAATTTTTTCTGCTGCCAACCAGTTTCATAACCTTGCAGGTTAGTGCTGGATGTTTGCTTCGCTTCTTTCCTGTGGTCTTCAGCCAATGAAATTAATTTAACAGGATGGAAAAAGCAGTGATTGGGCAGGAGGTGCAGAACTACAATTCCTGCTTTCTGAGTGATGTCATCCACAAATACACATTCTTGTTGTTCTACATGATGATACCCAAGAGTGCTGACTTTTTCATAGAAGTTCCCATCAAGCTGTCATATAAAGGCCAGGATGATGACTTATCTTGTCCCCTTGGTCAGGATTTTAATCATCAATTGTGAATAGTAACTTGCATCATCCGTGACAATCACATTTCACTCCAAACAATAAAGATCTAGAATCTGGGTCTTCTCAAACCAGCTCTCAAACAAATGGGATGTCATGTCCTTGTAATAGTCTGCAGCAGAGGGAGACAAATCCTAATATGAATTGGCAACTGAGAACCCAGTGTTTTACACTCTCAACATGTAGAATCATCAATCTTTTTCCATTGGAGGTGGGCACATCCATGCAGCATTTTTTATATTTGTCATTCCATCCTGTAGTCACAGTGTCATGGGTATCTCACTTTCTAATCCAGGTCAGTGATGACATATTCTTCACATCTGAAAAGATGACCCAGGTAAAGCAGGTGCAAAAGTTGGATTTGTTTGACAATGAGACATGGACTCTCCATAAGAGTAGACATTGGTCAAGTTGTTTGAACTGGAATATCATTTTCTTCAGGAGTGGTCCTCTAATAAAGGAATGGAGTTTTTGAGTCCTTGGTTAATATACAGAATACACAGTCAGTCACACAAAGTTGCAGTTCACATTGCCAGTCTGAAGAATAGGAAGCTTCTTGTGGCCACTCTTCTTCAGAGTTTTCAGTCTCTTTCTCATTATGCATCTAATGGTAGAGTAAATGATGGCAATTGCTTTGACTGTGCCCTTTTTCAGTCCACATCCTCTTTTCTCCATCTACTTCACCAAGTGAATCCATACCAAATTCTGTGTGCATATTTTGATATTGGTTTTTCCTTATCCTATTCTGATGAGGTCTCACCAACAATGGCATTAGAAGCCATATCCTCAATTTCCATTGGAAATCAATGGAATATTGTTGCTCTCATAAGGTCTTGGGCTTTCCCCAGGAGGAATATATGAGCCTGAGAGTCAAGAGAAGATGGATATTTGAAGAGTGGAGAAATGGAGGCCTGGTGGCTTTCTGCTTCCCAGCTACCCACAATCCTTGCCTATTGTACCCTCCCCAATTATATCATTAAAAGCTGTAAATTTGCCTCCTTGTCAATTGCAAGCTCTATGGAATCTTTGATGTCATTCACATTTAACATCCCTCGCTGTCTTGTCTCCAACCAAAAGAGCATTTTGTTTTGGATGTTTTTTATATTATGAAATTGATACATTTACTCTCAAAGCAGGTCTCAATTTTAGCATCATGGGTTTCAGTTTCTTCTTTTGGTTTAGTGCCTACCTTGAGATAATGCAAGAAAAATAAAGTAAATAAAGTAAAAAGTAAGGTTGAAGTTAAAATTGCTTTTCAGGGCCCTAATTGCACATTCCATTCCATTTGCAAAAAGAAAAACCAGCACAAAGTATGTTCTGTATAAGTCACTGGTACCTTCAATTCAGCCTGAGGAAAATTCTGAGAGAAGAAGACCTCAACTGATCCCTTCTCTGCTTTCTTGGTATGAACAATAATAGAATACCCATCTCCAAACCTAAAAACACAATAGATTTCATATTTGTTTTTTGCCTGAATGCTCTGCACAAAAGAATTGAAATAGTGAATGGAACAATTTGAAGATTGAAAAATTCAAATTCAAGGACCTGTTTTTCAGGTGCTGAGTGGATCCAAGGCATTTGAAGGAACCATTGACCATGATGGCCAATCGTGTACATAATGCTTCACATTCCTCCATAGAATGTGAAGTGAGGATCACAGAGCGCCCTTCTCTCACCAGCTCTTGTATCAAGTCCCAAAGGAAGCGGCGAGAATGAGGATCCATTCCAGTTGTTGGCTCGTCCTTGACACCAGCAGTTAGTTAGACAGGCATGGGTTTCATTCAATACAGCTCAATAAGAATGTAAATATCAATGTTGGGGTCATACCAGAAAGATGACAGGAGGTCCACCAATAAGAGCAATGGCAGCAGAGAGTTTTCGCTTGTTACCTCCACTGTAAGTACGTGACTCCTGATCAGCATACTTCATTAAATCTAATTTTTTCAGAGTCCATGAGATCACCTCTTCTTCCTCCTGCTTTGGTATTCCACGAAACCTACATTCATATAGGCTAAGATATAGGGACAGATCGAAAGAACAGAGGTTCTCTTTATGACAGCAAATGGAAAACTTTTCTACAGACCGACAATAGAGCTGGATGTGTTCCCGTGCAGTGAGCTCATCATATATAGCATCAAACTGAGGGCAATATCCAATGTAGGACTTGACATGCTTCATGTCTCTTTGGATGCTATGACCAGCCACAATTGCATCTCCTTCTGTGATTGATGTGTCTCCAGTGAGCATCTTGAATGTTGTAGTCTTCCCAGCCCCATTAAGCCCCAGCAACCCAAAACACTATAATCCAAAGCATTAAGAGAGTATTATAACAATGTAGAGACAGGATGACCTCATAAAAATAAAACATTCCTCTCCTCACTTCTCCTCGAGGGAGGCCAATGCAAAGATGATCAACAGCAAGGTGGATGCCTTGCTTTTTGGTTGTGTAGATTTTGGTCAAGTTCTTCAGGCATATTATATCCTGTGATGATCTCCCACTCATGATCCTCTGCCTCTCCTCCTGGACATCTTCATCTTCATTCTTATTTTCCTCTCTTCCTTCCACTTTTAAGATCCTGCAAATGTTAAGCATAATAAATAAGTCTTCATTCATCTCCTTTACTACTGAGGTTGAGAAAATACATATTTTAATACAGAAGGAATTTGCATTGGGAAAATCTTTTGCTTACTAATTGGAACTGTCTATCTACATGCTCAAATCAGACAGTTTCTTTCAGTATAATAAGCACTTATTCTGTGAGCAGCATTATGTGCTCTGAACTGCTAAGGTGTTCTGGCAAACTATTTGAAGCCTCTGGCAAGGCATGCAACATATTCTCTGGGTGATTAAAGAACAAACAGAAAGGTCCAGGTTGTCAAGGTAGAAATACAAGAGTCACCCAAAAGTAATGCCTCCTATTTTTTTTTTCTGTTACTTAGTCCGTGAAACTTGTACACATGATTACTTGGACTGTTGGGAACAGTGTCTTATTTTTTTATCATTTCTTTCCCATTTCCACCAGCTCCAGGAAAACCAGAAACAGTGTTGAAGGACATTGGGCATAATCAATTGCATTGTGAAACATAAAGATGAAGGAAGTTTGATAAATTTCAAGGATTTGGAGCACCTGGGGGCTATCCAGTAGCACAGTCATATTTTATCTCATCAACTAGCACCCAATTGTGGCTGGACTGACAGGGATGTTAGGTTGTACAGTGGGAAATGAACAGGTGTTAAAGATTCTGCTTAAAATGGCATTTACTCAAAAACATATAGGAAAGCATGAACAATGCTGTAAGCAGGAAGTAAGAGTTTCTGTGGACAAAAGTGCACAATTTTTACCTTTGGATGGCTGGGATGCACATCCATTTCCAAGAAAACTGAATCTAGGCCAAAGAATTACCTAAACACATGATTAAATTTATAAGCTACAGAAATAAAAAACTAAATCTATCCTGAGATGCTATATGCAAGCAACTTTCCAAATCAGAAGTTACACTGAAGACTGATGTGATGGTAAGATTATGATTGATGATATAAGGCCACAGTCATTTGATTGTTACAATTATTACTTTTATTGTTACTTTTCCAAATAAAGATAGTATTAGTTTGGCCCTGGGGTAAAGTGAGGCTCTGGCTTGGAGGGTTCATTGTTCCAAGGCTGTGGTTTCACCCTGCCTAATAGACAAAAAGACCGACATGAGACTATACTCATTTGCATTCTTTAGCTTTGGCCATGCCATTTCCTAAGCAATTACTAAAAGAAAGATCTGATCACATACATAAGGCCATGAAAAAGGTTGAGGCCTATGTAGAAGGGTTGGAAGGAAACAGGAAAAGGAATAGCAGTATCAGGAAGATTTAAGATTCCAGAGAGTTAAACCATGAAAGAAGTGAATTTAACTGGAGAGGATGGAGGGAAAAAGGGAGAAGAACTTGATGGGAAGGGAGCTTGAACTGACAGAGAATACAGTTGCAGTAGCCTGGATGGGGTTTGAGGCATACCTAGATAACAGAGGATGGAAGTAGGGCTTGAGCACTCTGTTTCTGTCTGAGAAGCTGATGGATTGAGCACAAGAAGGGAAAATCTTGATATGAAATGAAAATTTTTTTTGACAATATTCAAGACATTCAAAAGATGATTCACCCACAAATTTCATCAACAGTACATGTGGAGGAGTAGGCCCTCTTTTTTAGCATAATTTCTTCTTGTCAGGAATTATATCCTACTCTGATAGAAATCTAGTGAGTGTGGATGTCATGATTTAATAACCATACAAGTGAAAAAAAAAACCTTTAACATAAAAGAACTTGTACATTGTTTCTGGATTGAATTTGTACCCCCCTATGGGAGCACTTCCATCAAATGCAGGTAGTGACATCTTACACATGGGTGGTTACATCTATCACTTGATGAAGCAGAACCTCTGGAAATTTGTTTTTTCCATTCTCCACTATAGGGAGGTGGTATGAATTCAATCCAGAAACAGTGTAGAAAAGGAGATAGAAGGGAGGAACTTACTGAGATCTTTGGCAGAATTTGAATTCAAGGCAGAGGGTGACAATAAAGAAGATGATGCCTGAAATCCCCATAGCAACCAAATTTCGTGTCACCAAGTCCCATTCAAATGGAGAATGCATTGATGACATCTGGCCTGCTTGGCAAGAACAGCAAACACTAGTATGATGTGGTGATATGTCCTTTTCTTTTGCCCATCTTTCAATTCTTGAGCAGCATAATTTGTTACAGATACAAGAAAATGTGGTTTCACCTGTTTGGAGCATGAAGTTGTTGTGATATTCATTGAATGCGATGTCCATGAGTCCCCTACCAAGGCAATAATTGGGGAATACCAGGAAGATAATCCTCAGTATGTCATGGATCCTTCCCAGATGCTGATGAAATGTATCAGATGTTTTGGAAAATTATTTTTTCAATAGGTAGTTTAAGCAAAATAAATATGGAAATAAGACTAGCCTGGTTCCAGTAAAGAACTTGAAGGACAGAAGATGTGACCAGGCATGTCATCCCAACAAACAAGTTGATGACTATAAGGAACACATATGCTGTGCTGGATTCTTTGAACAAGAATGAGGCAGGATACATCACTGGAGTCATTGACCATCTGGCAAATAAAAAGATTAAATCAATTAATTGTAATTGACCTGCATAAGACCTGATATTCCACAAATGACAAGCATGAACATTTATCTGCTCACCCATACATGAAGAAGAGAGCCACAACAGCAGGAAAATTGTTTCTTGAAGTATAGGCAGGTATTTGGAAGATGAGTAGAATTAAAATGCTCACCAGAGCAGGAACCACATAATTGCACTGTCAATCAAAACAAAATGGAATATATATGCAATGACTAGCATGAATGGTAGAGGAACAGGGTCTGAGGCATACCATATCCCAACACAGATTTGCAACCCAATAAATGATGGGATGAACACCAGACACCATCTGAAGATGCTTTGCCTTTGAGGATCGCTCATAGACTAGGAAGAGAATGAAGCTAGCAGGTACAAAGCTCATGGCTGCAATGATAAAAATTGCTATCATGATATCTGTTCCTTGAAGAAGCTGTTCCAGTTGCCACAGTCCACCAGAATCTTGGAAGGGGTGGTTAATGACAGTGATGCCTATAAATGAAACAATAAATTATTTAGAGACATTTTGTTATCATAATCTGATATGTAACCTAGGAGAAACATGAGGGTATATTTTATGAGCACTCCCTGCTGATTGAAGGCACTCACCATAGGCAGCAGGGTTCCCTTTTTCAAAAGGCAAATTGGCTCTGAGTATGGCATTGTTCATGGTGTTCACATAAGTTGGCATGGAATGAAATCCCTTATTATTATACCATATTTTGACTGCATGTCGAATGGCAATTTTCTGGAACAATGGTGGAGCATCAACTCCAAAATCAAGCGGCACAAATTCTCTCAAGTGCCCAAATGACAAGCCACCATACCTCCTCAACCTGTGGCAAATATGTTTGAAAAATATAAATTTCCTTCAACTATGTAATCCTTCCATTGAGATCAACTTAAGAACACAGGGCTCTGTACCTGAATGTGTCAGTCGTGTAGAGCAAATACTCAGATTCATTTTGACCAGAGACATCAAACAAAATATCATCGGTGACTACTTCAAATGAGGATGGAGGTTCATATCCAGATGAATCACATACAAATCCAGTCTGATCATCAGAACACCAGCAGTCAGGGTAGGCTCTGTAACACAATACTTCACTCATCCAATGTTCAAACATCTCAATCAAGAGAATGACTATGCTGCAAAATTTACCTGGTGGTACCATTTGAGGGAGATGTACCATTGGGTGGAAATGATGATGGTTCTACTGTTGGTGCAGGAGGCACAAAATTAAAGAAGGGGCGTCCTAGAAGACATGAAAGCAATATAATCAGGTGTCCCACTGGTGAATCAAGACTTCATGCAATTCAGTCTCATGTAACCATGCAACAGAAGTAGTAAAAAAATGGAAAAATGGAATTGTATATGAGAATATGAAGTTGTGTGACCAGTAAAAAAAAAAAAATGCAAGACACCTCTGTAGGAATCTTTGTGATGTGTGCAAGAGTGGTATAAAAGAAAATGGTATAAAATACAATATGTAATGGAGATGACTTTCAAATTTTGAAATACACTGGAGATAGATTAAATAATAACAAAGGGAAGGTTTGGAACCTCCCAGGGATGCACATAGGGTTAAGGACCTCCATTCAGGTAAATGGAGACTGAAGGGATTTGAGTTTCTCCCATCTCCATCCAACTGAACAGAGGTAAAAAATTCTGGACATTTCCCCAGAATCTCCTCAAGGGTTGCAGTAAAAATGAATTCATCATAGAGCTCATTGGCAAATGACAACAGGGATTCCCCATTGAGTTCTAAATAGGCCAATAATAAGGCACCTCAAACAGTGAATTGGTACTTAAGTGCATGACAAATGCTGTGCACATTTATCCTGTGGATAATCTGATGTGCTTTAGCTGATGCACATCACGTGTGTCAAATGGTTCATCCACGATTCTTTTTGCCTGCAATATTGAGAACAGAATTAATGGGTTCTAAAACTAATCAAAAGAAACTATAGGGTTATAGAATGGCTCAAAGAAAAGAGAACACCTTTCCAAAGATTTATTTTGGACCAGAAAACTCACACATGTAAACATTTTATGAGGGAAGCTGCTACTCATTTTATACATAATTGGCATATCATTTCCAAAATTCAGTACTTCCAAAATTATACAATGGCATTCAGGATGCCAAAAACAGTTACGTGAACATCACTTAGACTGTTAGAGTTAGACTGCTACACCAGTTAACCAACAAGGATGAAAACTTTTTCCAAGGTTTGACTACATTTCTGAGTTCAAAGATGGAGGAGATTGTGACAATAAGAAAAATGGTCAATAGCAGCAGTAGTATAACTTAACATATGACTTAAATTTTAGTACTTTTACTCAAACATTACTCTCAAAACATCCACTGAATATTGTTTATGTCACTGCATTTCCAGTACGATTACTGGGGATCTGGAAATGATATGCAATCAGCAGTAAAAAATCTCCAGGAACAGTCACATACATTTAATACTATAACTATATTTTTAAAAGTTTTTTAGCCAAAAGCCTTAAGCCATAAGTTACCTGAGATAAGTGCTGCTCATAGCATTTGAAATATTATTTATTGTGCTTCTGCTGCTTCATCAAAAAATTTTATAACCAGCTTCTCAAGATAAAACTGTTGAGAGGGATCTATGTCTCACCCACAGATGGAAAACATGAAAATCTCTCATCTTGAGGGTCATGCATGCATGCATCAAAGTGTGGTCACTGCTCTGCAGTAAAGGAGTAAAATTAAAACTGTGCAGCAAAGGAAATCCATTAAGACTTGATTTTATGGCAGACAGTGCTCCTATAGTCATCTTGCAAAATGGGCCCAATGGTTTAAAGCTAGTCCCTTGAAGGTGACTCAAGGTCAGGGCAACTGGTGACAGTAGGACAAAAGAAAATGTGGAAATTTAACTCTCCCAAGGCAATAGAATTAATTATGACACACAAATGATAACTTTCAGGGTCAAATTAGCTTTTCTGAGGTTGTAGCATCTAAAATGTCACAATGCACCATCATCCTCGGAACAGTGCCACTGTGAACCTTAATCGGAGTCTTCTATTTTATATTTCCAACTTCCCCCAGGATATTGGTGATAAGTTTGACATAAGTCACTTTTATTGAATTTTCAGACTAGGAAGGGAAGTAGGCAAGTTATATTCTCACCAAGTTAAGGGAGATTTAATTGAAACATTCATGAGATACAGTGCCTTGCAAGCCATTGTTCTATTTTATCCTGCCTAACAGCAACAATCCTAGATTCAATACAGTACAGCACTTGCTTGAAGTGGTGATAATCTTCATATTCTCACTATGAAGGCAGCATCTTTATCCATGACTACTTACTAATGGTAACATGGAAAAGAAAACAGACAGCACTGACAAAGAATCAGTACAAGAAAGCACCCCACTAAAATGAATGAAAGTCACTTAAAATAAGATTACTCATACTATCTGTAGGAAGAATTATAAGAATTGATCCTCTTGAAATGAGCTGAATTCCATCAAGCACTTGCTGAGGCTGGTAGCATGAGGTGTGCTCCAATTATGAAGGCAGTATCTTACTGACTACTGGAAAGATTCATTGGTAACAATTGCTTCATATTGCCCCATTGCCCCATACTCCATTCCATCTTGCCCCAAATATGGCAAGATGACCCAAACTTAAGGGTTACATCTTTTTAATACTTAAGTTGCTATGTGAGTGGATTGACAAAAACAGAATATATGAAATGTGCATTGTAATCAAGGTTTGCCTGTATGGTTGCTTTATGCATTATTTTGATAATTATTTGAAGATCAGACCATAAATGCTTACGAGGTCTACCTTGCCCTGCCTACTCTATAGGCCAGCTGGTCTTCTGGATATATCATTTAGAAAGATGTTCTCTATTTTCTTTTATCCACCCTATATTTATCCAAATAAATCTTTTTGAAATGCAGAGTTGCAAAGTCCAAAGGAGGAGTGATAAGTGAAGGGTGAGCACACAGTGCAGAAGGGATAACATTAAAATCATTACTATGAGTATGGGAGGTGGCTTTTGGCAGCTCCCTTTCCCAGAAGAAGGGCTTTATGCACTTTATTGAGGCAGTTACACCTATTGGGGAAGGAGAACACATCAGGGGGTTAAAGAAGACATCAAGATGGAAGGAAATGGCAGCATTCAGAAGTAACACAGCTTCAGTGTTACAAGATTCATGAGCTAAATGGCTTTGTTGCATCAAGTAACTGGGAGGGAGAGCAACACCTGGCCTCTTTATGTCCATCACATAACTAACTAGCCATAATTTTAGCATCATGTCATATCCATGAAGACTATGGAATATTTGATGCTCATAGGGAAAGTGGTTGGACAGCTTTATTGTGCTGCTATTGTGCAAAGCTTGTTGTGATGAGGAAATTAGAGCACCTGTAGCTTTCCAGCATGAGAGGCTCTGGACAGATAGTCAGTCATCTTTCACAGTGCAACATTGCACCTAGGTCTGATGTATGACTTCCACTGTCACTATACTTGTGACCAAGCTTTAACACTCTTCTGTTTCCACACAATTGAATAAACTTATATTTAGAAGTCATGAGTGACTTATTTGAGCTCATAAATTCTGACTTTTCTTGAGGCACTAAAAAGTCATGTTTGACATTCCTATGTAGTTATGCAAGAATTTGTAAATCCTTAATCAAACTCACCTGGAACAAACACACTGGAACATCCTGGCTCAAAATAATCAGCCAAGAGCTCAAAGTCCCGGACAGTGAAATTGAAATCACTGAAATTGAATGTGTTGAAAGGATCCAAAAGGACACAAGTGGCACCAATCCCAGATGGAAGGTGGATGGTCTCCATGATCTTCTTTGAGTCAGCCTCTGTATGAATCCTGTTGAAGGTAAAAGACTTGGAGGTGACAATCATCTACTTCAACCTACTTTATAGAAGTAGAGTTTATCTGATGATCCAGCAATTAGTACTTAACAATATTTAACAAGGAACTCAAAGTTAGGTGTGAAAGTTCTAAAATATTAATTAATTAATCAATCAATCATATTAAGAGCAAGGATGGGGTGATCAATCACCCACATTTTAATTGATTGTAATTGACTGCTCTTTTCATTTATTTAGTGAAATAATACATTTTTATAGAGCTCATAACTGTGGTAATTTATACTCCAGCACTAAAACCAAAGAGCCAGTTCCATTTTAAAGTTATATTCATGCAGCCTGCCAAACATCTGGACTGTGGCACCCATTGGTTATGAAAATATTATAGCAAATGCTCAAACTACCAGGAACTCTCACCTGAGGGGTGTAGAGTGTGTTTCAGCCATTGCCTGCTGTTCAAGGTCTTCTAGCCTTAATGACTTTGAAAGTAAAGGTTCAAGATCTAAGTTAAAGTTTTAGAACTTAAGTTTAATGTAAGGTTTATCATGGTCTCAGCCAATAGTCTGCATCAGAGTATCAAATCATTGTCTGTGATCTGTGATCAAGGGAAAAGTACTTGAGTTATGCCTAGGCCAAAGCCTAAAAAAAATGTACCTAGCTATGAAGAACTTCCTTGAGCAGGGCAGAGGCTATTTTTTCTGGCAGGATAGGAATTAATGACCCAGAAACCATGAAAATCCACTTCTGGAAACTATGTGCTGCATTCCTCATTATTCAGAGCACTTATGAAGTTACCTAGTCATAGAATTTACTTCTGAAACATGACTGATTACTGTTTAATGTTCCAACTCATGCAATCTATATGGTAAAGCCAATCTTTGCAAAGAAATGTTGACAGGCCAACATGGCCATTTATGATCATATATAGTCATAAGGCCTAACCTCTTGTTAGGGTGGTTGACCTGGGTCAGTTTTTGGGAACCTGGAGCACTCTAGGCTAACTTGGCTAAAGCTGAGTCAATTAGTTCATTGGGGTCAATCAGGGTCATTTGGATCAAATTTTGTGATCAAGAGAACTTTGGCATTATGGTATGGGTACAGGCTAGCAGGTTGGCTCCCAGTAGTCCAGGCAGGAAGTGATCTCGAGTATTTCCCAATGATTCCTGACTCTTGTTACACCATATATATTCTTGCGCATAAACATAATATGATGGCAGATATAACATTAAGAAGAAAATGCATACATTTACCCTAAATAGAACTGCAGCGCAAAGCAACCGTGGCTATTAACACAGGAATTGAGTCTCCATAAAATATGGGCTCCTGAAAAAACACCTCAATCTCAGAGGTAAACATTCTCAAACAGATGAACTTTGACGTGCTGTCAACATTTGGTTATGCAGACAGGAACCTTATTGGTATAGACAAGCTCATGCCCCACTGGGACAAGTACATTAATGTCTGTTTCAAATGTGGAAAAGCGAATAATACCAAATGCTTTGTAACAGCTTTACCTACTTGGTACTTGCCATTGTATTTATGGTAATTACAGGCATTTTCACCTTACTTTTTCAATTCACCCTTGTAGATGAATATGCAATTAATACAGATAATATCAATTCAAAATGAATACCTCTAATGTGTTTACATTCAGTTGGTGGAGGAATGAATGAAATGGTAGTAACAAGTAGAGAATGAAGTACTGTAAGCATGTAGTAAAAGAAAACTTGATTTTTTAAGGGAGATTTTGTGGTAAAAACTGATGCCTATGGGATGAATCATATAGATTAATACCATATCATATATGTATTTGACACTGATTAATGTTTAACATATACCTATTCATCAATCTGCAAGCAATTTTTACTCTTTTTGGTTCATGCATGTTCTCATCCAATGTGCTTTGAAAATGTTTTATTACGGTGAGTGGTTTTTTCCACCACCATTGATGGTGGCAAAAAAAACTTCAATGGTAGGAAATGCATGTTGCTTGAGGTTGCTCTTCTTGGTAGTTGCCACTTTCAAGAGCTACAGTAATACTGCTCATCATGTTAAGCTTTTCATGAGCACATATTGATAAAATTATTCTTGAAACAATGTTCAAGTGTATTTTCATTTTCTTGTGCTGTATATTGGCAGAGAAAAAAAAAGCCATTATTTAATAAATAAATAAATACCCCCCTGCATATAATATTGCCTCATCAGTTCCAAATAGAAAGATGAAACACTTAATGTTCTCTGAATATATTTACTTATAAGTGATTTTTAATCAATAAATGCATGTCATTCATTCTCATTTAGGAGAGCTGTTCATTTAATTTGTGGATAGGTGCTGCTATACACATACCTGCTTAGTCCTCATCCAGATGACTAATGCCATCCATTCTGTCCATGAATTAAATGAACAGTCCATGAATTAAATGAACAGTCCATGAATTAAATGAACAGCCCATGCATTAACATTTTCATGGCCACCAGTGTAGTACCAACACTGAAACTGTAAAACATGTAATTTTGTTTTAAATAGGGCTGTACCAGTGGCTACATTTTGCCAGTCGGCCGATGGCCGATTATTTTCTTATACCTATTGGTCAGTACCGGTGCTGGTGCCTATTGTGACATGTAGAGAAACAGCAAAAACGCATTTGACGAAATTTTTTAAAAGTCATATATACATATTATGAATGCACATTCAATTTTATTATTGCTTCCACGCTGGGTGTTTTGAATACACCCATGTATCGACCTGAAACATCAATAGTGCATCAATGCTGGCAGGGGGTAGGGGGGGTGTCAGCGGATTCAGTCTTTTCTCACTGTGATAGGGATCAGATTTCTGCCTCGTTTCCACCATTTCTTGCCTCGATCAGGGCATGGACCTATATCTGCCTTCCTTAATCTGTCACCTGTGATTCGAGGAGTTGGAGGGAGAGGTGATAAAGCCACCATACCTCAACTATCGAAAATGACATCAATACATTGATGGATGAACCCTAATTTTTTCCTATTGCTGTTGAGAATCGGTTACTGAGCCCCGTTCACGCAGTAAAAATTTTTTTAAATTTTCCCGTTTGGCATGTTATTCTTTGAACATCGGCACCGGCTGGTTCCAAACCTGCTGATGGCCAATGTGGCCAATAGTCCAACACCAGCGGCCAATACCGGTGTTATCTGATACATCGGTACAGCCCTAGTTTTAAATATTCCTATTGCATAATTCATTAAGAAGGAATTATGAAATCCTGAATAAAATATCGTTAGCATTGACAACTTCATTATTATTTTTAAAAGATGATGCAACTTTCCAGCATTGAAACAGGAAAATGCTTCACTGTCAATTTCAAAGCAAAATATATGCAAAATGCTCAACTGTCAGTGTTGATACACATTTAACCTTTACACGCCAAGCACTTCCATATTAAAAAGAGGATGTAAGAGGAAAAACACTAATTTTGCCCTATTTGAAGAGCATGGAATCTTCCTTTCCACACCTATAAAATGAAGATTCCATGCTGTTTGAATATGGTAACATTTGCATTTTTTCCACAAAATGACTGTGTTCAAATTTGGCAAAATTCACTTTTTTCCCCTTACCTGCTCTCTTCTTCAAAAAGGAAGCATTCAGCATGTGAAGATTAACCCTTTTGCTGTTAGCCCAAGTACATACTCGGGCTGCACACAACGTTTTCACGGTGGTAGCCTGAGAACTCAGGTTCTGAAGCCCATTCCTTTTAGGTTGTTTCTCCTCTATTTAAGGATGTAACTGACATATATTTGGTATTTAAAACAAAATACATCCTTTTCTATATAACAGGGTTACTTTTTGTCAACGTATATGACTTTCGGAAGCATTGAATGACAAAAAAATAGTGTGTATCTTTATTGACCCATTCTGTAAAAAATGGCTTCCTATGCACTTAGTTTTGCATTAGATGATGATGAAATAAATATAATTTTTTAATGCTAATTGTGACATTCACTGTGTTGAAAGTGAAAATGAAGGTGATGTAGAAATAGAAGTTGAAGCCAAAGCTTGAGATGATTACAATGATGGGAGTGGAGATGCAAGCAGGAATAAAGGTAGACCAAAGGGACGAAAAACTGTTGATGTACCTGAGTTTAGCGAGAATCCCCATGCAACTCAATTCTTAACTTTCACAGGAAATCCTGGGTTGAAATTGAATATTCCAATCTCCCTGAGATAGACAATTCTGAACAAATTTTCACAGATGACCCGGGTCAATTTATATGTTCCTAGCAATATGTGTTTACGGAAACCTCCCTGAACATGTAATAACAGAAACATACAGGTATACATTTGCATCAGACCTTATTTTTTAACACAGCTCTAAGTGAATATTCAAGGGCAAAACAAAGGAGAAACCTCTCTGTATAGGAATTTTGTACACTTATTTTGGCACTGATTTTAATGGGCATTGCAATACAGCCTTCTATTCAGTCTCTCTGGAAACTGATAAACGTTTTATCATCCCTGCTTTTGGTAAAATCAAGTCTGTCAATGGATTTATACACATCTCAAAATTTGTGCACTTTTCTGATAACACTCTGGCTGTTCCTGTAAATAAATTGTTAAACACATTTTGGTCTATCATCAACAGTTTTCAAGATAGGACAATTTAAACTTAAACCATTGTTCGCAGAGACACAACGCAATTCTCATTACAGTGGTCACAAGGGCTTTTTTTTTAAACAGTGAAAAGGCTAAAGGAAAAAATAAATAAAAAAAAGCTGAATTATGCTCACTTTGATTCATTCAGGTCTCTTCCATTGCTTGCAAAAGGAACTGCATTCCCATATGGCTGAGTATAGTTGTAATATTGAGATGGGGAGAGAATGAGAGGATGAAACTCTTGAACTCGAGGAGCAGTCAAAGCCACTGACATTGCCACTGCAACAAAGAAAGCTGGCAGAAGGATCTATCAAATAGAGAAAGAAATGATTCTGAGAGGGAAATCCATTGGCCAAAATGTTAATTCCTGAAGAATTTATCTTCACCTGTGAGAAGAGACCTTTCCAATTATGTTTGGTGCAGAGGTATCTCTTCAATAGAATGGCCCAAAACTGTTGGCACATGAGAGGCCTTCCTTGCAGCATGTTGGATCTGCATCCTCCTTGAAATTTGGCACAGACTATCTTCTCAGGATGAGTTCCATCCGAATCCTGCTTCACTAGAAAGTCCTCTACATTCACATCATCCAGAAGTGGAACATCATCATCTATGACTCTATCATGTCTGCTTCTTTGTGAAGGTATGGAGGGTTCTTCATCACTATCTACAAGGACCAGTTTCCCTAGCCCTGACTCCGAATCCGCTGATCCATCCAGTTTATCATCCATCAAATCAAGAAGCTGAGAGTCTTCATCTTCATTTTGCCCAGGGAGCCTTCCATCTAGTGAACTTTCACCTTCATTATGGCCAAAACTTGTAGAGCCTATGGAAGCAATACCTAATAGTCACATCAAGTCATGTCAAACAACAAGGGCAAGGTTACATGGCTTTCTAGCTCTTGCATAATCATCCCACCATCCTAACATACAGTTCTGAGCTAATTATGTATTAGGAATGCAATGGGTTTGTAATTCCATCTGCTAAATGTTATTGGACCCAAACCATTTTCAACATCCTAAATATGACCAGATATGGCAATCCAGAAATAAATATCTATATCTACATGGGGGTTTGATGCAAGCTGCATACCACCAAGTTCCAGACTATGATTACAATAAAAAAATTAGTCACAATTCATCCATTTTAAACTGTTTCTACGCTTTCCACTGATGGATCCTATCTATGCTAAATGAATAATTAATCTTCTAATTCCAGTATCAATGAGATATCAAGAAAAGGCATAGAAGATTGATAACATGACAAGTTCTGCAATTCTCCCATTATATCATTACATTTAGGACTTTGTTTCTTCATCAGAGAAAAAATGGATTCATGGGCTTACAAATATTTGTATTACCCAAATGACAACCTGTGCAAAACAAATATATTCTTGTTTATTAGCAATCTTGATAAATATAAGAGCTCTTTTGAGGTTTAAACACTCACGGCTTTTTGGAAGGTCTGAGGCTACTTTGAGAAACACTTCCTCCATACTTGTATTCATGATTCCATAACTCTGTATATGCAGCCTTGTTTTGGTTCCTTCTAAGTCCTAAAAAAGAGAGCAAAAATGATGCAATTATAATAGACAGCATATTCTTAAACACCTTCATGACATGAGAGAGAAAAAGTAATACAAGCTAACAAAGTAGGCAGAATATTTTTTTAAATTCAAGCCTATGCTTGAGAAAAATATTTCCTGATGAATGAAAACATAAATGAATCACATTTTTAAACAACCCTTAGATTTTATTACTTTCAAATCTACCATCACAGATACACTTCTCGCTGAAGTGATCCCATTTAAATTTCAAAATTTTATGACAACAATGCAGCAGGGAGTCCAGGGGTTGGGACAAATGACCTCTCAATTTAAGGGCCAGAACCCCCTCCACTCCTCTTTCATATTTCTCCCCTTTGACCTGAGGAGCACCTTTGAAAGGCATTGCAATTTTTATTATCCACTCCAAGGTTTGGTGCTTTGTCATAACACAATGGAAGACTCACGAACACACTGGTAACTTCCTCCAGCCAGGTCAGGGTTCATGATATCATTCATGGCATGAGTGCCTCAAGAGATTCAAGATAGTTAGTGATATAAAGAGGCGATTTCATCTGTTTCAATATCACGTGTTGAGGGTTCCTTAATTTTAGGGTAGGCCTAACCCTTTTAAAGCTAAATATTTATTTATTTTTTTTATTTTTTTGTTATTTGCCTATCCTAGTTGCTTACTGTCTAGTACCTAACGTCAACATTGTTCCCCACCATTTTGCCTGTCCATGAAAGCATCTAGTTTCTTCTTAAAGATAGTCACAGAAGGGGCAGCCACTACTTCGTCATCTAATGCATTCCACGCATCAATACCATTTTGACAGGTGAGGCAATGGCAAAGTACAGCATATTCAAAGGTGGGCCTTGATTTTTGGCAATATAGTGTAATGATTGACTTTTTTAAGTCTATCATCTCATGAGAAGGGGTCAGAAAAATGGAACAAAGTGTTAGTACCTGGAAGAGAGGAGGGAAGTGTCCTCGATGGAGTTCATGCATTGGAAGGACATAATGAAGCTCATGATGGGTTTCTGAGACCAGATATGCAGTAGGTATATGTTTCTGAATGAATGAAGTCACTCTTCTTTCCTGGCATTTGGATGTGAAGGACCTGCTCATAGAGAGAACAAAAACACAACAATGAGGGGTATGATCCTGTATACTAAGGAAGGCAGAGATGGGAGAGGAGGGGGGAGGGGGGGGATGACTTCCAGATATGAATACATTGTGGAATACATCACCTTCAAATGGAGAGAGTGAGAAGAGATACTGCATCCTAAAATAAAGCTCTACTTGAAATGAGGCCTCTGTGCTATGAATTCAGAAGTCTTGATATACATTAAAAATCCTACATGTTGGGGATGCCTTTGGGATATCAAGCCACCAATGCCTTTCAGAAAGCTCCATTCATTACTGAATCTTGACTTCTTTTTCATTCTATGGACAAAACTATGGCAGTAGTGATCCTTCCACAATAACCATGATATTGCTTGTGAAATTGAAAATGCAATTTTTGATAATGTTCATTGAATGATCCTGTGATGTTATAAGCAAAGGCAAATGCTATGATTATGGATGCAGGTAATACTCATTTCCAAGAAAAAACTGAGCATTCTCCCCAAGCTTGAATGGATATTGCCCCCTTTTTCCTTATTCAATATTTGAAATTCTAGGCACCAATCATGACATTTCCTCATAGTTGGAAGGTCTCTTAGTTCCCCTTGATTAAGGACATAATACATGATGATTTGTTTAGGAGTTTTGGTAGGGGAGAAAGATTGGAGAAAGATGGAAAGGATCATCCTGTCTGCTACCTCTCCACTGCTCAATTTTTTTTGTTGCATGATATATTGGAGGATCATCAGACAACAGCCCATTAGTACTACTCTTGTACAAGTCCCTTCCAGTATCAAGCAGGTGTGCCTATTTTCAAAGTACATCGATCCGCAATATTAGTGTCTTTTGTTAATATGACAACCCTTCCAAGGTCACCAAGAATGTCTTGATATATGAACTCATATGAACAATATGAAGTACAACCATCTGAAACACTTAATATTTCAATTCCATTTCACAAGAAATTATTACTAGAGCAGGACTCCAAGTGCCAGGTATACCCCAACAGCAAGCCTTCTATGATTTCCTCACAGTTGTCATAATCCATGACAATTTCAAAAGAGCTGGCTACTTTGAAGCAATTGTTCAAAAAGCCAGCAAAATGTACTTCAAGCTTTGTTTGCTCAACAATACTCCATAGCCAACTTGATTAATGTATAGGTTTTAATATTGTTTTACTTCAAAATAAATAAGAAAAATCGAAGCAAAAGGAAGTGAATATGCTTGCAACAATCTTGAGCATCAGGAGTTTTATGACAATTCTCAAGAGTTCTTGCACATGATACACATGGAAAATAAATGTCTTCCTAATGCTTTCCATCCCGCAGGCCACATTCATGTGCATTCCAGTGCCATGAACTTCATAAGAGTAGCCCTATGGTTCCAACAGCAAAGTGCAATTTGTCACACAGCCTGGGAAATTATGAAATGGCTGGATACCATTTTCCCTAGACTCAGGAGACCTAGAGTGCTCTTAAGGATATTAGCTTCAGTCTGCTTAGCCTCTTTTAAAATACATGATTAACCTATTTCATCTAAGATTTAAAATGTGATTATTTTATTAAATTTAAGCAAGATTTTAGAGCTGAAAAAAAATTCTGAACACTGCATGGTGCCACCAGTGGAATCAGTTCTATTCCAGTAAATTTAATTTCCTCTTGTTATTTGCAAATGTAGGCAACAAAAAAAACCCAGTGCAGTGTCTGGGTTTAGACCGATTTCCTGTGCCTGTGCACAGATTGATGGTGGGTACTTTGAGCACCTCTTCCAAGTGTGAATCAGGTAAGAATAATGCACTTATGATTGTATGCATATCAATTCAGACATCATGTATGCAGCACACAACTGAATTTTGAAGCATTCAACCAAATATTAATAGTTCTGGCTGAACTGCCTCAGGGCTGTCACACATTGAATTACCTCCTGTATCTCTAACCCCAATGAGGATATTGTTATCACAGCATGCATATGCTCCTTTAATGTAGTAGTCAGTCCTCAAAAGTGAACAGCAATATTCTGAACCAATTATAAGTAGCTCCAAATAAATAAATGCCCCAACATTTTTTGGAACAGAGCATATATTTGAATCTTCCCCAGAAAAAGTGCAGAGTGAGTAAAATTCTCCCTATCTTCTGCTCTTTTCTTTCAGAGCCTGATACATGAAAAGATCTTTCAGGCATGGATCCCAATAGAGCTCAATTTCTCCTTGGCTGTCAGTTGGTTGCTCTTCTGAGCATTGTCATGTCTGCTACCCATTATCATATCATGTGGGGGTGTAGATGCTTGTGTACAAAATATAGTGTACTGCTCCCCACTTTGTACACTAGATGCATGAGAATTAGCTATCCCCATCCAATGGAGCATGCATTTGTGGTGGTTGTGAGGACTTAAGCTGTGGGTACAGTCAGGAACAGCCTTATGGCCATACCCTCTCTTCTTCCAACTCTGCATCACTTTATTGGGATTTTCAAAGAAGATCAATCAATGATGAGGATTTTACCAGGATTCTGTCCCTGGTGAGGATCCTGCAGAGCTGAAAATATGAAAATCTTTTCCAACCAAGACTGTCTGAAACTCACAAGCCAACATCTGAGTTGATAATGGAACACCAGTTATCTTAGGCAAGCAGTGATCCAAGTTTATTAAAATTAATCCAGTGACCAAAGTTAACCTAGAGTCCCAGAGTGTGTCTTTAAATTTCTTAAACAAATCTCTAATTGCATAATCATTACATGTTGGTTTTTGATATTTTGTTGAAATTCCTGCCAAGTTTCTCTTGGAGATTCAAACTTCACCATTCATATAACCACCTATGTCCATTCTAGTAAGCTAAGCATTCTAAGTTTTTTAGACATTTGAAGCTTTGGATTTAGGAATTTTGGATGGTTTCCAACATCTCAATAGGGTTAACTTGATGACACCTAAGAGGCATCTTTTAGACATCTTCTGTGGAACTCTTATAGATGTCCCAAAGGGGATATCTTTAAGACATGCTTTTAATATTTATTTATTTATTTAAAAAGTGTGGACTGGGATGGACACACACAGACAAGGACAAACACCACAAATGGCTCTACATGTAGCAATACATGTAGGGCCTTTGCATAGGGCATAGGGCAAAGGACACCCCTATCAAACATCCCTGACAACATTGCCTCACCTTCCCATACTCTATGTCATTATGTATCCCATTTTCATGGGCCCAGGGAAGGTGACAGCAACTTTGAAGCTGCTCAGGCCTGAAGCCTTCCTTTGCTGCACATTAGGCTGTAAGAGCCAAAGTAGCAGGTGCTATTGAAGTGCACCAAACCCCTACTTCTCACACAATGGAGCACAGAGTGGCCTATGCTTCATGCTAAGGTAGAGCAGAGAGTACTTGAAAGCAACCAGGTGAGCAGTCGGCCCAGGAGAATACTACTCACCGCTGGATGAATCCGAACCTGGACCTCCCATGTGCTAGCCCAAGTACTTATCCATTGAGCCACAACAATGTGGTACTAATACATCCTTAGTCAAATGCTTCTAGATATCCCATAAAGGATGTCTTTAAGACATCTTCAGTCGTCTTTGTCTCCTTTAGTCAGGTATATAACTTTGACAGATGTCTCCTATGTGCCCTGATCTTCAACCATAGATCTTCACAAAAAATTTTATCAACTTGATTTGTGCAGGATTTTCTTCCCTCTTTACCATTATTCTCCAATCAATCAAGAATTAAAGACCGGGGAGTCCTAGAAGATCAAGTAGAGATATCTTAGAAAATTAAGGGTCATCTTGCATGATAGGAAATGAGTCCATTACAGAAAGAAAGGCATACAGATATTTTAATATCACTGGGATGTCTGTTCAAATAGTATCTGGGACTTCTGACTTGTCCTTTGAACAAGTGAGAAGTGACGTCCCTGGGATATTTCTGGGATATGCTTGGTTCTGCAAGAATGGGACATCCTTGGAATGTCTTTGTGCATAGACATTTTGATACCTTAAGATGTCCTTAGTAGTTGTTTCTAGGACTTCTCACTTGTCCCAAGGTGATATCTATGGGATATCTTTGGGATGTACTTGTGCTGAGTGGAATATTTCCAATGAAGTATATAAAACATTTTCCACTCTGGTTATGCATGCATTGCATACACATGCATCATGAAAGACAACTTTGGCAAGAGAAAGAAAGAGCACTGGAGTGAAAACAGCAAAGTAGGAAGAAGAGAGCTAAGGAAGTTAAAGCCTCAAGATATTTAAATTCCATAATTTTCTGTGAATTATTAGTTCCAAGTGACTTTGTATCCACCCTGAGCAAAAGATGCATCTCCGTTAAACCATTTTATAATCATTTCAATTTAAAGATTACCCATTTCTTTACAACAACCCTGTAATATCCACAGAACTTTTAGCATCCTAAAATGCTGCCAGTCCAGCATATTTTTGTTCATAAAACAACCACTGCTTGTGAAACCCATCATGCAACTAAAACATCTTGTTAAGTACTACTCTGATTAATCATCAGCTGAACTTCACAATTTAAAATTGCATTCTAGATAGTTCAAGTATGAAAACTCTACCCACAGAGATGCACACATCAGGTAGGCTCCTTTTAATGAGAATGAAATTAAGGATCGCATATCCATTTTTAAAGCTAATTTCTCAACAACACCATTCAAGAAATTGACAAGGAGTGAAAACAAATCCAAGCTTCCTGATAGGATATCAGAAGGTGCTGGTATCAAAATGGGGTCAATATCTTACCTCCACACCATAAGCACATTTTCTTGCAATACATCATGCAAATGGATCAAAAGAGAAATAAAATTTATTGAAAAATGAATTCCCTGCTTACCTGGGTGATCCAGTCTCATCATCTGTATGCTCCTTCACTACATGGAGATGGTAACCCTCTCCAAGCTTGGCTTTCAAGAATAAAGATGATCCACAGCATTTTACTTTTCCATTGGACAGGACTGCAATGCGATCACTCAAGATGTCTGCCTCATCCATGTGATGTGTTGACAAGAGGATCGTTCGCCCTGCCAAACAAGAAAGTGCCAACTCCATTATGAGTCCAATTCATACAAGTATCATCTGTGAGTTCAGCATGTAGACAAGATTTTTAGCAAGCAAAGACTTGTAGTGAACCAATGATGGCTTCAGGAATGAGAGAGACCTTTCTTATATTGAGCAATGAAGTCCCAGAGGCTCCTCCTTGAACATGGATCAACACCAGCAGTGGGCTCATCCAGGATAACTATTTTACTGCCACCCACAAAAGCAATTCCAACAGAGAGCTTTCGCTTCATCCCTCCACTCAAGCAGTGCACCTTCATGTGTCGTTTCTCCAAGAGACTTAAGTCACTGAGGAGCCTGTGAAAGAACAGAAATGCACTCATCATCCATAAACCTCACTGGTCTACCAATGAGACAGACCAGTTTGACATCACTATCAGAGGTAGACCTTCATGCAGGAAAAATTAGGAGCAGAATCATGTGGCTTTGTAAATATATATAACCATAGCATACCTTTTTACATGTTCTTGGTTTATAGAAAAGCTGCTGCACAATCTTGGGTTCCATTTAAGCAAAAACTGAACAAGTTTTTACTTACCACTTCTCTTTACCAGAACCAAATAGACTGGATCAGTATAGGATGGTGCAAAGGAACTGAATTCAATATAAGTCTTTAAACCCTATGCACAATGTTGAATTTACCTATGACAGATCCATTTAAATGTAAAAATATCCTGTGCACTTCCTTGAATGGTATGAGGATCTCCATAGGAGTTTTCCCTAATTTTTTTTTGCCAAAATTTGACATTTGCAAGCAGCTCGAATTATGATTGTTCACTGCCAGATATCACAGCAACAAATGAAAATTGATACTTTGTATGTGATGGGCTTTAGCAACCATCAGACATGTTTGAGAGACTTCACATGTGGGAAGTTCAAAAAGTAAGCATCAAACTCTACATCTCTTCTGGGAATATATTCCCAGGAAGCCTAGTTTGGGCAAACTCCTTCCAGTCTGGAAACTTTTTGATCCTACTATGTATATTCTAAAATATACTTGTAGTAAAACTCCAGAGAGCAATTTCTATCCAAATCTGAATATTAGGAAAACAGTAGACAAAGTCAGGTCAAGTTAGCCTCTTAAGACCTGGATGGCTTGTGCATGTGTCAAATCCTATGGGTTTCATATTTTCTGGGTCTGAGGAGGTTAAGAAAGTTATAAATAAAAAAATTGCTCAAGTTACACACTTCATAATCTTCTACAAAGAATAATATAAGTTTAAGCATACACAACATAATCTGCACACATAAAAATGAACAGTTTCATGAAATTTGTTATGTAAACTTTCTGAACAAAAACCATTGCAGAATGTAATATGAAGGTTTTTTTAAATCAAAATATGCAGCTTCTGACTGAAAAAGGAAATTTCTCATAGCTGCATGTTTTTATTTATATTTGAAAGGGTATCGAACGACCAATTGAAAAAAATACTTTATTACAATACAGTGAAATCTCATTACAACATCCATCAGATTAACATACTTTTTGGATTAACTTATTTTGTGAAAACCTCTAGTAGATTTACTACATTAAAAACATCAAAAAGTTTCCACATAATGCACTTAGTATTTATATACAGTAAAATTTCAGATGAATGCCTTAATTTCAAAGTTTTGGGAGTTATTTTTAGTTAGCATTACAATGTATTCCCCACTTTTGCACCAGCATAACACAACCGATGGGATGCAATAGCTTAAAAATGATTGGCAGTGTTAAATGACTGTAGCTATGACATCACTGAGTAATGTGTACTGGCTTGACTGACTCCAATTGCATGGCACTTTCTTTAAGAGTGGTTGGTGAGGTTGTTTATTGTTTTTCCTTGGGTTCTATATTCTTTCTTACATTTCAGATTAAAGTACTTTCAGTTTTAAGTAGAAATTACAAGAAATTACCACATGTTACCACATGTTGGGACCACATGTTACCACATGTTGGGACCACATTATGTTATAATGAGATTTCACTGTACTATGAAATAAACCTAACCTAACCTGATTCTTCAAACAGTTCAAAATTTTAATTTTAATTTTAATGCAATTGTGAGTTCAGCAAAAGATACCTTTCAAATTATACATGCATTGAATTAGGTTTAGGGGCAAAATTATTATGTTTTGAGAAAATGCCATCAGTTTTTATATTACATATTAAGTGACACAAAAAAAAGCCTTATTTGATGCCTTATAAAATCAACTGTGGGAAATGTGGGTTCATGATTTTTTATCCCATTAGAAGCACCACAAATTCTTGTCTAATTCCAATCTCATGTGGAAGTTTAATAAAATATTTACAAATGAAAACAATTTGAATCGACATTTATTGCTGACAACATGGTTGTCCAGCTTAGCAGATTAAGAACTTGAAAGATTTTGAAACATTAGTATAGAACCTAAAGCAAATCTCAATTTTGAATTTTTAAAATTATTATTGGCAATGGTTTTTGGAGAACCCACAAGAACCAAGGGATTCTCATGTTCTCAACGGTCTGCAGGAAAGTAGCTCAGTATTTCCAGGGCTGCCCAATTGACATGACATTCTAAGTAGTGAACGAAGGTGCAACAGGTTTTTTTCATAAGCCACACAAGAAAAAGTTTGCAACAGGTATGACACTAACTGAAAAAGATGTTAACATGCATCCTAAACACATAACTCTGCTCACATTATCATGCCGCTCAAGTAACTCCAAGTCTTGATGATAGTTTATGCAGGTAGAATCTGCTTATAATAACTGCATCCAGACTGAGTACACCTGGAGTTAAAAGTGCTTAACTCTTTGTCTCCAGAGCAATTCATAAATCGCTGAAAACACATCTTTCTTGTATCGAATTGGCTTTCAGATGGAATATATTTCGTTAGCAGAAGTAGTTCTAGTTCTATATTGACTATAGAAGATGTCGAAAATATGGGATTGCTCATGAAACAGAACAAAACTTACAAGTCGATATATCAGCAGCTCATCCAAATGGGAAATCAAGCGCACTGATATATTGGCTGCTTGGAGACAAAGAGTTAATCTTACCCATTATACAAGGTGTCCATAAATGATTAGTACAACTTTAATCTTTAATAAACCATGAACAAATGAATGTACATATATGTGGTTTGCAGCAAACAAAAGCGTGACCTTTTAAGTTTCATTAAAATTTGAAAGCTAATTTCCTCCTTGTGGGAAGTGAAATGGCAACTCCACAAGAGAAGGAAAATGTGCATTGTGGTTTGTAGAGTTGAAGTCAGACACACAGGTGCAATGCAAGTTCAGAACTGTTTACAGTAAGGACTCTTGTTCATGAGATATAAGCTCCTGTAGGCCTTACACATTCCCGTTCCTGTACACATTCAACATCAGATGCCAATGTTGAATGTGTATGGGAAGCCTTCAAGAGCAGCCCAAGATGATCTGTGTGTCATGCCAGTAAGGAATTGTATATGCCACTGTAGTTCTTCTCTTTCAGCACACTTCCTGTGTCCTTAAATTGCTTCATCTATCGATATGTTGAAACATGGACAAAAGAATCCTTGCTAAAACAGTTCTGAACTTGCAAGGCACTTGAGTGACTGATTTCAACTCCTAAAACCACAACACACATTTGCCTTCTCATGTGGAGTCACCAATTCACTTCCCAAAAGCTGAAAAAAAAAACATTTACAAATTGTATTCAACAATTTGAATTGCACAGAATAAAACTTAAAATGTTAAACTTTTGTTTGCTGCAAACCACATATATGTAACTTCATTTGTTCATGATTTATTAAAGTTTAAAGTTGCATGAATCTTTTATGGACACCTGGTATTTCACTCATACTACAAACAAAGCTTTAGCACTTTACCATGCATATCAAATGACTGCATCTAATACAAACCTCTCCATGTTTTCTTCCAGAAAAAGGGCACCATTGTCCTTTAGGCAGGAGTAGAACCAGAAATGTTCTTCAACAGTGAGGTCATCAAAGAGGACATTATGCTGAGGACACATCCCAAGGGAATGTCTAATGAGGTCCATGGAAGATCTGATGTCATGTCCATAGATCACTGCACGGCCATGTGTGGGTGGAAATAGCCCAGATAAAATAGACCTGTTAATATAAAATTGTCTTTCATTAAATGAATATAAATAAATGAATAAAATAAACTTGTTGAAAATGAATTAAATGAATGAAAATAGAACTCAAGCTTTCAAGAATCATAACACTCTCAACAACTTATTGATGGGTACCATACATACGCGCACAAGGTTTTTTTATGGGGTAAAGTTTGTGATATTTGTTAATGCAAATAAGTTCCTTTATTACCATAAGGTAAGCAAAGGAATGGACTATTTCCTGAGACCTTGGGCAAACCTTTGACATAATATGCACAAGAAATGAGAGACTTCTGTGCTCAAGTTAACTCGAGCAGGACGGCTAAGAATCTAGGGGAGGACCTCACCTATTCAAGCAAAAATGTCTAATTTGAAAAATAATATATTTGGACTTGAGTGATAATGATGTGGTGCCAACATCATAATAGTTTGTCCCAACAGTTTCCAAGATGTTTTATGACACTGTGTCTAAGTAGGGCAAGATGTGATTATTCACTGACTCATACCTTGATTGAATTTGGCATGTTTATTTTTATTCCACTCAAGAAGAATTTAGTAATTCCATCTAACTGACCCAATGACTAATATGTGTGACTAATAGAATTCACAGAGCAACAATCAGCTTCACTTATCCTTTCCATGCCTACTCACAATAAGGTTCACTAAGTTTCATCATTGCCCATATTGCATCATTGTACATATGAAAGCCTCTGGAATTATATTGGCTTGGAATGAATAGAAAAGGCTGACATTTTATATTAAACATATTTGCAAATTAAACCCCTGTTGCATTTTGTGCCTCTAAGACAATTGGGGACACTTCACTAAAACAACTGAGTGACACTCTCATATTTTGCCAAATCTGTCTTTTGCAAACAATTTCTTTTGAAATGTTTGGTATTTCAGTCAGGGTTCTGGAAGAATTAGGCCTTCTGTCACCTCTTTTAAAGCCAGAAACAATTGTAAGAACATACTTTTGAATCATTCAGAACAGGTTCCACTCTCAAGTTTATATGGTTTGCAATCACTTTGTTACATACAGCTGAAACTTCCATGAATCTAATTCCATTTGTGCATCTAAAAGCAACGGTGCAGAATGTAAATGCAAGGAGGCCTATGATGGAGCCTTGTGGAACAACCCTATGGAAGGTAATTTGTCTCTGTTGGGTCCCCTTACACAAAGGCATTCTTGAGATCTAAGGAAAATTTCCATCCATCTGAGGTTTTGGTATTGAACTCCCAAGGTGGATAATTCCTGGATGATCTAATTACAGTCCAAGGTATAAAATGCTACCATTAAGGCGAAAGGGGTAAGTTGAATGATCATTTCAATTTCTTTCAGAATGTGGAGGGTCAAGTTCACTAAATGTCAACAATGTTGATGATTCTTTGTGGTTGGTGCATTGATGTTTATCTAGTCCTATTTCACATTTGTCCTGGGTAATGAATTTATCAAGTGTCCTCACTTACTTCTAATTACATGTCAAGAGAACAGCCTTTATGACTACAGCAGAGTATCAGGTCTTCTTTGCAGAACCTGTAGCAGTATGAGAGAATCATGAGAGGTTCACCATTCTGCAACTATTTGTGAAATAAAATCATGCAAAATGGAAAGCTTTGTCCCCATTAACTTCAGAAAAATGTCCAAAGTATTTTTCAACAATTAATAGTTATTAAAAAACTAATGAATTGACTCTGACTCATGATGACTGCCAACAACATCTTGTGTCTTAAATACACATGAAACATCAGCATTCTAGCTCCAGTAGGTCAGCAGTTACAACAGCATAACAAGAACCAAGTACTGTCACTCACATTGTGGTGGTCTTTCCAGCTCCATTGTGTCCAAGCAATGTTGTAATTTGTCCTTCATATAAGTTAATGGAAAGATTATAGACAGCAGGGCGATTGCTTCCATGATAAGTCTTGGTCAAACTCTCAATGCATACTCCTAGTGGAATGTGGCCAGGTTCTTCCTCAAAGAGTCTTTCTTCATCATCTGTGGGGGAAGCAATTGCTTTAAATTCACATACCAGCATTATTATTGCAACACATATACTCAGGGAAATAACATTAGAGACCTCTTCGGCTCTCCAAGGCACATGCAAGATCTTCATCCATGACTGAGAGCGTGGAGGAACTTTGAAAAAGCCTCTTCAACAGTTGCTTGAGACTGAAACCACAATCCTCTGTTCGACCATCCTTCCAGTAAGATGTCAGAAATGGAAAATACCAGGGCTTGGGGATACCATATGATCCTTTTTAGATAATAAAAGCACACTCAGCAAATTACTTGTCTATACATTTTATAAATAGAAAAGTAGGTTACAATCTCTCACCAGGATGGACATTCTCAATGTACCATACAAGAAGGGCATATATGAAGGAGTCGAGAATCATCATGATGGTGACACTGAGCAGATTGTAAGTATCATCCTCCACTGGAGACTTGTAAAAATTGTCCCACTGCACACCAACACCCACTTCTTCATAGAAGGCAAAATACTTGGACCCCAGTCCAAATGCAGAAGTAGACAGCAAGGACTGGGAAGGTTTCAAGAAATTACAACCATTTAGCACTAACACAACATGCTACAAAACATGAAAGAACACAAACATGGGAAAAACGTAACCTCCCAAAGGCCTCTCATGCTAAGAGAAGGGCTTATAAGGATAGTAGGCCTAACATTATCTGCATCAATTCAACATACAGCTAGAAATCGAAGCCATGCTGGGATAACGTCATGTGCACTGTCTTCTCTCACTGCCAGGTACATGTATGGGATGTAGCAAAGGAAGTAGATAATCCCTGCACAAGCTGCAGCCAACTTTGCTTTTGAATATAACACGCTGATAAGGAACCTAAAGAAAATAACAATCAGAACAGGGCCAATATAAGTAATTATAAAAAATTGTATAGAACTAATAGGACAAAGAGTTATTTCTAAAGCATAACTATAAGTCAGCATCATTCTATTAAATGGACTTATGTCTCAGCATAGCAAGAGATTTACTGGCTAGGGCACGACTCACGAGAAGATAATATTGGCAATCGCAAAGATCTCAAGCACGAGGAAGATGATCCAGGGGTTACTATAGGTGAGAATCTTCCCATATTTCAGGATGAGTGTCAGGGCAACCACTGTGATAGACATTTGACTAAGACTTGTAATAAACCATGCCACCCAATGAACACCATTAGTCAGTCCCATCATCTTCATCACCTATCCAAATAACAATAAGTTCCATACATGTAAACTACCAAGACCTAGAATCTATGGTAAACTATCAGGTTGGTACATGAGTCTTGTTGGAATTTTCACTTTCTGTTTTTTATTGAAAAAAAGAACATCAATCAACATTATATGTGCCATCATTATCTACAATGTATTCCCATCTCTGGGGCAATTCCATAATACCATCTTCATATAATTGGGGGGATTTCGACTTGAAAAAAGTTTGCAGGTCCTTTTCCAGCTGGTCACGATCATCAAAGCGTTTTTCCTTTAGATGGTTCTCTAGCGCCCGGAACAAGTAGTAATCTGAGGGCGCAAGGTCCAGCGAATATGGCAGATGAGGCAGGATTTCCCAGCGAAATTTCACCAGTGTTTGATGAGTAGCCTTCACTGTGTGTGGTTTGGCGTTGTCATGGAGTAGGCGAACTTTGCCTTGTCCCAGACGCTCATTGCGCAGTGCATCTAGCAACCTCTGCAGCTGTGCACAGTAGACATCAGCGGTGACAGTGGTATTGGGCGGGAGCAACTTGAAAAAGATGACACCCTGAAAATCCCAAAAGAGGGAGAACAGAAACCTTCTTTGGATGAAGGTCACCTTTAGGTTCTGGTTCCGGCTGCTTGTCACGGCTGACCCACTGTCGCTTGCAGGTGTGGTTGATGTAGAGCACCCACTTCTCATCTCCTGTGACGATTTGGTGGAGGAAGCTCTGGTGGTCCCACTGCGACAGCATAAAGTTGCAGATGCTGACCCTCTGCTGGAGGTTGTCAGGTGTCAACTGGTGGGGTACCCATGTGTCGAGTTTGCTCACTTTGCCCAAGTCCTTGAGATGGCATTCAATGGTCAAGTGGGAGCACTTGAGTTGCTCTGCCAATCCGCACGTAGACTGTCACAGGTTGTCCTCCACCAGTGCTTGCAATTTCTCAATGTCACACTCGACTGGTTTATCGACCGCAGTTTATCTTCCAGGGACTTGTCACCATTACGAAACCTCTCAAAGTGCTGTTGACGTGTGCATTCAGAAACCATGCCCTCGCCATATGTAGCACAAATATTACGAGTGGCAGATGCTGCGTTGTTGCTGAAATCGAACTTGTACAAAATACAGTGGTGAATATGCATGGGAAGCTCCAACATTTTCTTCCTTACACAATATGCAAGAGAGTTGCATTTTAATGCCAATTTAAAGCACAACTTCACAGCCCTATATATGCATGGCATCTGTGCTATAGGCTTTAAGGGGAATTTTTAATTTAAATTTGTAAAAAGCTGTCAGGACTTATGTACCAACCCAATAGATGCCTCTACAGCTATGGAGGAACATGATACTCACCTCTTTCAATCGCTGCTCTTTCTCGCAGACAATATTTTGAACAAGTATGGCAACTGAATATACCCATGATATAGTAAGGCAAAGTGGCATGACATGCTGAATCATGAAAAAAAATTCATCCTCCATGTAGCAAGGATATGGCATTTCTTGAATGTAGCTCCCAGGAGACACAATCTCAACTCCAGCATACAGAGATATCATCGCTCGTTCAAGAATGTCTTGAATCCATACAAAGCCAAACCGGTAGTAATAGGAACCCCAATGACGAGGACCAGGAAACCAGAAGCGTTCTCGGACCATGTTGGTGTCCCAGGTAAATGATGCATTTTGCCTAATCGTGTAGTTGATGTGATTAGGCATTTTTCCATCTTCAGTCATGTTGAAAAGGACAGCTGGTAATAGATAGCACTTTTTCATAAATGGAGAGAATCAGAAAACATTAGGAAGACAAGCAACAAACTACCTTATCAGAACTCATACCTGCAAGTACAGTGACATTATCCCAATAAGCTTTGTTCATGTAGTAGTCCATTAGGTCTTCTTCAGATGGAAAACCCATGAAAATGTCAAGTGAAATTCCAGATGTGAGAGCCAGCCAACTGCAAGCAGCATTCGATATGTTCTTCAGTTGTCGTAATAGCGATTCCTGTAATAATTGATCATTGGAGACACATGAAAGTTTTCTGAAAATCTAATGGTCATTGACAAGTAATAGACTTGCCTGATCTGGAGTGATGAATTCATTGTGGCTCTCCAAATATTTTTGATGATAAAGTTCATAATTGACATCATCTGTGACTATCCTCAATCCTGAATGGATATCCCTCATTTCACGGAGTGCTTTCTGTGTCTTGTTTTCCATTAAGAAAGCGCGAATCTCAGCTGAGACATTTAGGATCCCATTTGCATACTGACCAATTATATCCAGCAAATGCAAAGTCTCATTGGCCTGTTGGAAAAAACCATTTAGGCTAAGTTTTCTAGACCATCTCAATTCTAAGTTTTGGTTTCACATTCTAGGACTGATTCCTGCTTTCTTGAATCAGAATTTTAATATAGAAATATCCATAAGGCAAATGAAAAGAAGTAACCTTTTGTATGATTTGGTCAGCATCTGTTCCATTAGGAGCATAGAGGATACGAGGGTTATTGGAAAGTATGTGGATGAGAAGACCAATCTGATCCAATTGATTTTGTGAAAATGTGAAGCTACCATCACCATCCCCACCACCAACTGGAAAATATGATGACTGCACCACAGAGCGATACCAAGAGAAAAAAGCAAGGCATTCCAAAAGCAGAATACTATACCAGGAAGAGACTGGTTCATAATCCTGACATCTTCACCACATAATTTCTCCTGCATTGCCAGCCAGATATACAACAAAGCTTCAGCTGGTGGCAGAGCTGTCCCCTAAATTGGAATAGATTCATGAATATTATACCATCAGAAATCTGAACACAAGTTGAACTCAAAATGTATACACAGATACTGCCAGCACAGACCTCTTTTTGATAACTTCTGAAGCTGCTGAAATCTACCCCACCTGGGAAACTGTCTTGAATTCCTGTAAATACCATTATGGGTACTTGACTGGTTTTTCCAAGAACATTAGGGGATGCTGGATCTAGGCAGATATCCTGGGGAAATGCTTCTGCCAAGGAGTCAAGAGCTTTCAGTGTGTGAGTGAACTTGTGAAACTTATACAGCTTCAGCCTCAGATTATTCAATCTTCCCTTGACAGCTGTCTTGTTCCAGCCATTTGTAGCCACCTACAAATCATAATCACTTTTGTTTAGGATAAAATGACAAAATGTAGTAAATGTTTAGTATACTGGTTTTGCCATAACTTCTCAATGAGGAAAAAACTTTTTTTTCATGTTTCAGTTATCTATGAATCTATGATTTTAAAAAAGCACTTTAATAAAAATGTTTAAAATTACCAGGCTTTTATTTCATCATTTGTGATTAAAGCCTGATATAGAAGATCACCAACTTTTTGAGCACCTGTCATCAAAGCATCAACCAACCAAATGTTCAGTTACCCAGCCAAAAACCTATCATTCCACCCATAACACAGATCCACCCTGGTCATTACACTAAATTTACTGGTGAAATCAGACAGATCACAAACAAATGCTACCACCCAAATACCATCCACCCAATAAAGAAGGTTCTCATTGATTGATACGGTAAAATAGAAGTCTTTGTCATCATCCATGATAAGTTGTTGTGGCAATTCCAGAAAGACTCAAAAAATATCTACATGGTTTTTGATAGCAGTAAATTAAAAGGATCCCACCTTATAAATGAAGGATAAAGATGCTGTAGCATAAATGAAGAGAAAACAATACTTTTTTATTCAGATTTTTAATAAGAACTTTAATTAATGTTGCCAACAATGCCACACATGGTCACAATACCATGCCAATAAAGATCAAATCTTTAGTTTAACCTTCAGTTTTGTGCCTCATTTTAGCTATTATGAGGCACAATTGACATCTTCTCAAACTTTTGGTTCTACCATTAGTTTCTCTGGAAGCTAAGTCAAGTTTATGGATGAGATGTTTTGCCCCGGCAGTGGGGATAGATTATGCACATTTCTGGGAGTATTTCTCTTTTTTTTTGTAGTTTTCATGCATTTTTCAATCAAAGTCACTTGTGCATTGGTAGAAGACTCAGGTCAGAGCAGTTTTCAGGAATGGGGTTTATGGTGAAGGATGAAAAAGCCTTTAAAACTTATTGAAAAGGTAGTAAAATAATTTATGAGGAGGAATTCATGTCTTGCAGCACAGTTTTTGACTGAGTAGGCAGTTTTGGGATGGAAGAATCTCTCTTCTGAGAAATGTCAATTTGGGAGACTACAACAGCTTCAATGCCTCCAAATTTTCAATTGATGGAAAGCCTCACCTTGAACTTTGACACTGATACATTGCCAGAAGTTTCCAACATCACACCAGAGCAATTTTATCTCATCTTACATGTTGTGGTGTAAATATGGGCTTTACTACCAGTTGGACAATTTCAGGTCTGAAAGCTGCAGATGGTCTCTCATATTGCTGGTTCCCAGAAAGAGAGGTTCTTCCATCCCAAAAAATGGCTTACCTATTCAGACACTGCTGCTAGACTTAAAATCTTCCACATGAATGTTTATCAGCCTTTGGAAATCATTTTAGGTCCTTTAACCCTTCTCCACCAGAGATTCTGAGTCTTCTATCAGTGTACAAAAGGGACTTTGAATAAGAATGAGATGAAAATGACTATAAATGAGATACACACCCAAAAACACACAGACTATCACAGCAAGTCATCCTACCCATAAAATTAGGTCAGCTCCAGGAGGAACTAACCATAATGGGAAAAATCTAGGAACTTTCCAAATGCACTTCATATATTTCAGACATTCTACATACAAGCATTTAGGCATAATGGCAATTGCCTATATGAAATTCTGTATTTCATCACATAACACCTTTAGCGCTGAGTGATTTATTAGTTGGAGGTGGTCATTCAAGGATTCATAATTGCCTTGATGACAGATGTAGGATTTTCCTTGGGGTCTCCTGTGAAACCAGGCATTAATTATAATATGGAAAGTTCGTGGTGACTTGCACCACTTGACCAAAAAAATTTTTCAACCAGAGCTTGGTTGGATTTCAATAACAAGTCAAGAGTTCTTTTACTACTGAAGTCACTCTAGTGGAGAATTGACAGTCTAGGACAAGTGAGCCATGAATGAGCTATAGTCATGTAAATCAATACAGTCAGCACATGGCTGCCCCAGTCTACATAACCTGTACTTATGTCATATGTTCTTAGAAGTCCAAGTGCATGCATAGAATAGGAAAAACCACTTACTGCTTTAATTAGAGAGTCCTTATTGAAGTAAGGAAGAACAGCCAAAGAGAAAGCATCCCATTGAGATTGAGACAATGAACATAACTGCCTGATGGACTTTTGCAGAATTGAATAGCTGGGGTCACTGAGGGGAGGAACAAGAACCAGAGGTAGGTAGGCACATAGCTTCTGTAGCATTTCTGGTGCATGGATCCAATCCATGACCTAAAATAATAATAAAAAGTTAACTCCCAATGCATACATGTCAAACTCTTCTCCATTAAAGACAGCATTCTTCCCTCCATAAAAAGTCATACTTACCATAAGTTTGCCTTTAATACCATCAAGAAAGACTTGCATGCCCCACTCAGGATCACTGACTGCTAAAAACTGAATGATATCCCACAGGTTTTCAGCATTCCTTTCCTTCAGCAAGCTGTCAAAAGCTTTCACATTTTGTTGTGCATATGGGCTGATCTTGGATATGTTGGCAGAAGAATCATTTTTGAGTTCCTGCACCATCAGTTCATAAATAACTGGCAGGTTCACTGTTGACTTGAGCAGAGCATCAGCATTGGTAGCATTCAATAGTAAATGCTGTTCCATAATTGGCTGGAGAGAAGCGTGATGGTCCTTGGCACTGAAGAAGTCTGATAATTTGTAGCCTGAAAAGAATATCAAGAAGTTATGCTCATGATCATAACTGGAACTTAAGTAATTTAATGATATGTTGCAAAAAATATACAAAATAGCTAGTCCACCGACTTGAGTGAGCCAAGAAGAAAAGACTCAAAGTTAGCCCCATTAGGCAGGGATAAAACATCCAAAATGGTCTAGTGTAACTAATCTCATCTTGAGCTCCTTTGATGTAGGCCTTACATGTGAACCCTGCATGGATGGGAAACTCTTTATTGCTCCCATGTTCTCCTTGGAAAGCCTTCCAGGAGAAGACTTTCCTTCCTATTGCTGGCACTTTGAAAGACTGATTTTCAAGCTCAAGATGATCAAGGCTAATACTGGGCTCACCACATATTACTAGTTAACCCCATGAATGCTTCTACCAACCAACAGGTACACTGCTCATTTATAAGCTAAAATATATTTTGATAGCATAATCAAAAAGGAAAGACAACAGGAAAAAGGGAGATAAATCTTAACTACCAGTCAGTGTTAAAATTCCCATGCAGGAACAGTGAATGTACATGAACACAAAGTAAGGGCGATAAAAAAGAAATGGCTCTACTGTTTTCTATGGGAGAAATACAGTTTCATAAATGCGAGAAGAAAAAAATACATTGGTTATGTGATCAACATTGAATGGTTACAAGGTGTCGAGATGCATGTCAATTTTTCTTCAGCACTCCTGCCTAAGTCATGCAATGCCCACATACACTGTTCAGAGGTGTTTTATGGTGTTTTGTGCACTGCCAATAGCTGTCTGTCACAGGAACAAGATAGAGGAAATTAGCTAGAAGTCTGTTCATCAGGTCCAGTGAGAAGAAATGAAACTCACACCTGTTGAATGTCAGCTTCTACCCTCTGAGACTTCCAAATGACTTTCGAAAAAGTCATCAGCATTCATCATGATAGATTTTAATGATATTTCCAAAAGTGAAGGAGGTTGGAAAAGCAATGGCACACTCAAGTGAAATTCACATTCAGTTACTGTCCAAGCCCCAGCAGCAGGTTTTACTAACTCAGTAATTGATATCTCTTCTGAATGTTTCAGCCTGTCCAACAGGTTAATCAAGATGGTCACCATGAAGGGCAATGGAAAACTTCAGGTTAAGGAATTTATGCTTAGTATCCTAATGTCAGCTGGCTAGTTTTATTGCCCAAGAAAACATGAAAACAGGCAAATGAAGAGAGTCACGCATACTAGTCCTACAATTTAATTCTCTATCACATTGTCTTTGCACACAACACTTCACTGTCAGAAAAATGGTCATCTTAACTCAATTTATTTCTCTGTGCTTTCTGATTTGAGTGACATCCATTTCTTTTTACTCAGATTGGTAGAAAAGTTGAATGTGCAGAGTGTATCAAAACCTTTTGCAAGGGGGATACCAATCAAAGGATAAATGATACAAGCAAAAGTAATATATCATTTTGAAGCTATATTTTTCTTGAATACTAGAATATGTTTTAAAAAAAACATTGTATTCTTGCTACCATTAGCCTCATACATAACCCTCAAACATTGAGGGTATGAGTTCAGCAAATTGTTGAAAAGTTCTGTTGCAAATTCAAGATATCAGAAGACATTTTGAAGGTGCTGAATGAGGAGTCCTTGGGAACATTGGTCAGGACCATGTTCACAGATCATCAGTTCTTTTGCATAGATGTCAAAATGTCCTCTGAGCTCTTGAATATGCAACAGAACTTTTTTTAAATTTGCAGATCATACTCTCAATTACAGAGGGTCATGCGTGAGGCAAACGGCAAGAACACAAGGTTTTAACATATTCTTGTATTCTCTGGGAAAATAAAGCCTCAAAATTATGTATTACTTTGATTCATATCATTTGTCCTTTGGTTAATATCCTCCAAGTAAAAGGTAATGATACATCCCATACTTGATGAAATTCTCACTTGAAGTTAACTTGATCTCTTTGCATTTTCCTTTCCTTTCTGTCTTTAAATGGCAGATATGGATAACAATTAATCTACAAATCCACTCCAAAATAAAGGGATATTCTCCACTGCATTTGTTTCTTTTTTGAATTAATGCCTGCATTGCACATTCATCCAGCACATATATAGTGTAGCACAGTGGACTCCTCTTCTTTTCTGTAACTATTCAGGTTAAAAATTTCCTGCTGGATCTAGAAGTTAAAGCCAACAGGGTCTTCCATTGTGGAGTGAGCTTGTGAACTTTGGTGCTTCTGGTTGGAAATCCAGCAGATATTCCCATAAAAACAACATTGGTTCTTAGATAAGCAAACAGCCTGAATTCATAGTGGATCCATTGCAGTTTCTGTATGGTCATCATTGAGTATGTCCATCCTGGAACTGTATTGTTTTCAACATTACCTTTAGATCAATATCAATCTTGGATGCATAATGATGACAACATTACTTAAGTTTCATTTCCATCACTACAGAACACCAAAAAATTATTTATGTACTGAACAGCAAAACTGTAAAGGAAACAAGGTTTCTGCCTCAAAATATAACAGCCATGTTGTATTAGCAGTTGTAAGTACAATGAAGAAATAATTTTAAATGAATGGAAGATGAAAGAACCAGATTTCACTTGACAAAAAGGGAGCCAATTTCATTCCACAATCATGTTCTTAAAGCAAATCAGTCCTTGTTGCAGTCATTCCACAGACTTTTTTTTTCAAAAATCCACCATGATACATTCTTGACACTCCATATCTGAGGAGCTGCAATTCATTCTCCTTTAATGGACTCCTGGAAACAAATCAGATGCAAGCAATCACTGTTTCATAAATGGGATTTCATTTCATTTCATTATTTGATGGAAATTACCTTTAATCTCAAATCTGGAACTGAAGCTAAGTCTTGCATGCAGTGGTACCATAGGCCCAGCAAACTCAAATATATATCAAATATGATTCAACAGTTTGAATGAGTCTCACTCCAAGGAGGGGGGCACACATGAAGGCATGGATGTCTTCTCTTTCTACCTTGTGCACTCATTCCTTTTCCTCTGTAAAAGAGAGCGGTCACCTTTATCAAAACACAACAGTACCAGACACACAATACCACAATCAATCCATTTTTGAGCATTGCACAGTATTATACAATCACACCGAAGAGCACAGTATTATACAACCACACAGAAGAGATTTTAAAGTGACTTTCCAAATGAAATTTTCACACAAATTTCACTTGAATTCACATAAAACATTTGCTATTTCAGTTGATCTGCCTCCTACTACTTCTGAGCCCTCTCCAATCTTCAGGATAATTTTCAAGACCAATTTGCAGGATATATCACAAGCCAACAAGATCCAAAAAATAGGCATACCTATTCTCCTTAACAGAAGCCTTGGTATGCTCCAATCAGTACTTCCAATCAATACTTCAATAATATATCACAATTCCACCATGGGATTAGCCTTGGAGAGGGATTAGAACTCCTGATCTTTCTATCTCAAATTTTCCAAGAAACTCCCTCTTGCTTTAAAATTAAATAAATTAGCCCTGAAATTCACTCATGATTACTTTGACATATACTGACAAAATATTTTTTAAATGAGGAAAAAGCAATTTCTCATAATTCAAATTTGATCTTAAAGTGAGAATGAGTTGATTTTAAATCTTTATTATACAGTATCTTACCACCAAAATTAATGAGATGATTTTCCTCAGTCATTCTATTCCAAGACACTTTCATCAACAATACTTCACATTATAATTGAACTATGAATGGAGGCTAGATCATTAATAGGTTGCAGTCTAAGCTTCCTATTTTTTCACCTTGCATTATTTTACAATTTGCCATCGGCATGGAATATATTTATAGGAAATGAGATGCAGCTATTTCCTCCCTTCCTGAAGCCTCTCCTTAGTCTTCATGGTCTTTTTCTCCCTTAACTTTGCTTAAAATCATGGCTGGAATTGGAATTCTTCATGACACTGGCTTTAAGACTGAATATGTCAGGTTTGAAGACTACCAGTCTATGAGCTTTATTTCCTATTGTGGATTTATTTCAATGAATCACCAGTTGTGGTGTGTCTTGAGGCATACTCATGTGCACACAGCCCTATGGGAAATGTCAGACTGAAATTTTGCTAAAGCAGCTACCACATCTCATGACTAAGGCCACATTTCAGGCTTTCATATCACTGGAAGCACAAAGATCCCTGACCGGAGGAAAATAAGTGGGAATGCAAAGAAACTTTCTTGCAACAATGAAGGCAAACAGGACTCACAGTCAATTGCTTGGGATATCTTGGGTTCAGGAAAGGCATTGTCTTCTTCAGGAGACAGATTCCTGAGATATTCTTCCCTGAATAAAAAATAGCCAAGTTCTTTGCAAAGAGCAAGTCTTCAAGCTCAAGCTTCAATAAATGCCAGCCTTCTTCCAGGACAATGATACCAGAAGCCAGTTTGACCTATAAATAGGAGGGGAACAGATAATAGGATAAGAAAATTCCAGTTTGCTGATGAGATAGGACTGATTGTACATTTTCAGGAACAGAGAATAATAGAAATTTCAGAGCTATAATACACCGATGAAAGAGATTGAGGCATAAGCTTATGATCAGGGTGGATCCATAGTACATAGGATCACATAATATAAACTAAACACAAACTCACTCTTCGACTGCTCTCACTTCACTGAACCACAAAATAGAGATGAATTGAAGCACTGAGGCAGGGCCTATACGAAAAGGGTGAAAGGGGGCTCCAGGTTGCAAATGAGAGAGGTCTGAGGCATGGGGGACAATGCCAAGTGAGTTGGCTATGAGGGCGTTCTGGAAAAATTATTATCTTCAATGCTCAAAATACAGGGTGGTCCAGGTCAAGTATTATGAACCTAACCGCAATTTTCTTAGGAATAGCAAGTTTGATCGACTTGAAACTTGCACAGCATGTTCCTGACATAATTGACCAGATATGATGTAAATTTCACTCAGTCACCACCATTGGCCTTGAATATGGCCTTCAACCTCTTCTTGAAGTTGTTGACGCTGTTCCTCACCTCTTTCATTGGAATTTCATCCCAAATACAGACCAAGTCTTGTCTGGGATGATCCAGATTGTGATGGGACTTGAAACAGGCCTTAGACTCAAGGATCAACCACATGGCATAGTCAAGAGGGTCCAGATCTGGAGACGACAGGGGCCACTTCTTCATGGTCATGAACCCTGTCAAATTCTTCTAACACCAGTCCTAGGTCACATTAGTCTTATGAGACATTGCTCCATCCTGCTGGTATGTCCATGGCTCATCCTTGAACAGATATTGACCCCACAGGAACAGGACGTCCAGTAGGATGGATTTATGCAAATTTTCTTGATTTTGATGCCCTCAGGAATGAAGATGAAGATGCACTTGCCTTTGTTGGTGACAGCAGCCCATGCAATGATGGAGGCCAGCTTCCAGATGCAGAACATCATTTCAGCATTGTTGGGAATCTCCCCTCAACTTCATGCCTAAACTCGATCATTTTGCCTGTTGTGGTTGTTGCCTGTACCTTGAATAATTTCCCATCCAAGAAGACAATGTTGGAGGCCAAACTATTCTTGTGCCTCTTCAGCATCTGATGACTTCAGGACAGTCTCTTACTCTTGGTGGCTGCACTGAGGTGCTGTTGCTTCTGGAGCCAGTAGGAGGTGAACCTGTTCTTCACTACTCTCATTTTTGTCGACCTCGAGACATTCTTCTCCTTCACCATCTTCCTGATGGATCTGTTGGGATTGCGCCAAATCAGGCACTTGACTTGGTTGATGAATTTCTTCATTCTTGTCGTTTTCCTGCTGCCTCTAGATCATTAGGTGGTAGAGCCTATCTCAAAGTATTCAATGTCCTTTTGATGAAGGCTCTGCTCAAATTCAACTTCTTGCCTGTCTTTTCAATGTCTGGTCTTTTCAGGCCAAGTTCATGCAGTTCTACAACTGAGGACCACCTGGTTTTCAACGCATTTTCTCCACTGGTGCTCAAATGACAAAGTTAAATTCAAGGTTGGATTGAACAGCAGAAATGTACAATTTCAACAAATAACATTAGGACATGAGTCAAATATTTGGTGTAGGAGGAGACTCTAAAATTGTGTTACACTTGACCTGGACCACCCTGAATGAAGACTCTAAATATTCAGTGCTGTTCTTGTCCCACATATGTGGACATCTCCCAATAAAGTTGTGAGTAGTTCAGTTTTTGGAAGGGGAAAGTCTTCACCACCTCAAAGAGAATGAAAAATTGGCAAAAGACAGAAGCACTGAGGGAGGGCAGAGGGTCAAGGAACAACAAAATAAACAAATGTAATGATGCCTTATGCCCATCAGTTTCCTTTGTTGCTATCAATTTGTTATGTAAACCCTCCCAGGGAGACAAAGAAAGACATATGAATGGGTTTAGGGGGCAGTGTGCTGAAATACAACCCATTTTTCAAGTATGGGGGAGCTGATGGAAAATGGAAACTTCCAGCTATTTCTTCACCACATAGGAATGGGAGCCTTGCCATAGAAAACATGGTTGGAAATTGGTTCCCATGGCTCCTGCCTTATATGAGAAATAATTGAAGGTCATTGGTTCAATCAAGACACATGGGCCTATATTAGCTACTGTTTTAATGCTGGGTTTCAATCAAGAGGGAATCAAGCTAGTTGCAAGGTGGATTTTCAGTAATGCCCTATTTGCCATGACATAGTGCCATTTGTTAAGCTTTTGAATAATAATGAAAAATTACAGACAATCTCTTCATTCATTGCATGAAGAGCTTAATTGAGGCTTAGTACCTTCATTGACTAGAGGGATTTCCTTCTGCAAAATGGTGCCTTGCTTGTTCTAGAGCAGAAGTATGATGGTTCCATCAAGTAGAAAACCTTGTAATGTGTAACAGCAGCAAAATCATTCCAGACATACAGTAGCGCTCAAAAGTATTAGCACGATGGGATTTTTCGGCGAAAATCATCTGAACGCTGAGAAAAAGCGTACCGACTGGAACACAACATGCAAGACTGTTTCAAACTTATCTTCGTAGTTTGAACGCAGAGAGATCGTTTTGATTTTTAAATTATTTTTTCATCTATTTTCTGTTGGCGTTAACTGTGCACCTATAATACGAGGTATGGCAATAAAGTTCCCGGGCTGATTTTTTTGTGATTCTGTCAATATCACAAACATTTTTTTCATTTCATGGACTGGTAGATTAGAGTGTTGGGCAGTGCTGTGTCAGTTCTCATCTGACTAGCATCTTGAATGAGAGTTTGGCTGGTAATGTAGGAACGCAGTGTAAGGCATCTGTCACATTCCCAGCATGAAGCAATGCATCATCGCATTTTGTCTCAATCCGGGGAATACAGCTGTAGCGATCCATTGAATTTTGCAAGAATTGTCTTGTCATACTCCAAGAATCTTGAATAGTTGTCAAGGCTTTCAGCCAGAAGAAATAACATTGAAAATAATGATTGGTTCAGCCATCCCTTGGGTGAATGGTTGGTGATGGTTGGGGTTGAGGTGGATCTGAGTGTCTTCACTACTTGCTAAAGGCCTTGAAGATCATTCAAAATTATTGGAGCATAACAAGGAAAAACCGGGGAATACAGCTGCAGTAATCCATCAAATGCTGCAGAAGTGTGTTGAAAAGTTCCTTGTTATGCTCCAATAATTTAAAATGACCTTCAAGGTCTTTAGCAAGTAGTCAAGACACTCAGATCCACCTCAACCCCAACCATCACCAACCATGCACCCAAGGGATGGCTGAACCAATCATTATTTTCAATGTCATTTCTACTGGCCGTGAAAACTATTCAAGATTCTTGGAGTATGACAAGACAATTCTTGCAAAATTCACAAGTGTTTCAAAAGAGAGGAATTCAAGTGTGTACCTACTGTCAAGATTCTCCATTAGTTTTTAGGAAGGCCAATTGTCTGAGAGCACCTAGATTTGAAAGGACTGCATTCAGCAGGATATGAGCATCCTAGCTCTAGACAGAAATCAAGGTGGAAATGCTTCTTTCACTCATCCACAGAGAACCATCATGGTTCCTTCATTCTTTAATGAAAATTCAATCACAGTGAAAGTTATTTCTTCATATTATCTGCATTTTCTAAAACAATAAGTAGATACTCAGGAAGTGCTACTTACCCTGTGGTGCATATTTACCAATGCCTGTTATATGAATTTGAAATAGACCACCTTCAACTGCATGGAATGATGCATAAACAGCTCCAGCTTATAGTCAGTGAGAACCACTTTCGTCATCAATAACTATATGGAAACTCTAGCTGGTCCTGGCTGGAATTTTTGATTGGGTAAGCAATGTAAGTTATTGACAATACATGATATACTTTCTAGTAGCTATTTTGAAAAAATAGTGAAGTTGTAAGATGCCAAGAGTCAATAATCCAGTAAAATTCCAGTGAAAATTACATGGAGATGATTGGATTCAAAGATGATGGCAAATGGAGATAAAGGATGTATCTTTAGCAAAAGCCATGTTTCAGGCTTTTTGGTCTAAGTAGCACAGAATGTCCATGATGCCTAACTTTGATAAAATGGCCAACAGTAGAATTTTGAATGTTTCTGGGAAAGTGTTTAATAGACAATTTTCAAATGTTATGATGCATGGATTTAAGAATTCAAGTTCAGCACATCTAAAATGCTTTCACAGAAACCTTTCAAATAACGAAGTAGAACATTGCAGAATGTAAGGAAAATGGAATTTTGCCTTTTGAGATGAAAAACAGAATGTGGACATAATTGGATTATCCTACCAATTACCATCCAAGGACAGAAGGACTAAGAATAAATGAGACAGTCAGGAAAGAAAAATACTGGTACCAACTTCTGCTCTGAAGCAATGCCCGATGAAGAGCAAGAGGATCTTCAACAATCTCTCGATATATACTAGGAATGTCTTCCAATTCTTCTGGAGTGAAGTCTGGTTGGAAGAAGTTGTTCTCCATTGCTAGTGCATGCAGATGCTCCAAGACCTCCTCCACACTTTCAAACAATATAAGAAGAGAAACAACAAGTTTACCAAATAATGATGCTTTGCTCATAGAGTACTAATCCAGAAAAATGACAACCATGTTCACTGTAATGACATTGTGTCATGTCATGCCAATGTAAAAACCGTATTCATGTTGCACCAAATTGAAAAATCTCAAGTAAAAATGAACCTCACATAAAATATGTGCATAGTGGAATGAATAATATATGGCAATTTGCATGATAAGATATCTATATCAAAGAAAACCAACAAAACATAATTAGGGACAATATTCTTAATTTGACCTTTCTCCTTTCATTACCAGGTCTAAAAATTGGTGAAGCAATAGCACTTTTCCTCAGGAGCTAAAGAGCAAAACTCCATGAAGCATAACTAAACATATTTGGGCATCACCAAATATATCCAACATATTTTGTGTAATAGCAAGCATATAGTCATTATTTAGGGCATCTGTAATTGAGCAAGCATATTTCACTAATGTTTCTTTTTGCCAGCATATCAATGGTGCCTATCTGCCAGTTCAAGATCCAAGTTACCAAGGGTGTGGGGCACCAAGACCTTATAAGATTCCAGAACCCACATGGAGCTTGATCATGCAAATTAACATAGAGATAATTGCTTAAGCACATTTGGCAAAACTAACATCAAGCCAGCCAACTTTAATCACAAACATTCAGTGACAAAAATATCCCAAGATGAAAACAACAAGGTTCCATACAACACAATGTCTCTAATCACTCAAGTCATGTATGTAGGCAGGGCCCCTGCCATGCATCTATGATTCTTGCCACACATACTGGCTCTATGTACAGCTCTACATACATGCAAATGTACATAGATGCTCAGTGTTATTATTTTTTTAAAGAATAAAAAATTAAATGATATCTTTTTCAGTAGTAGTGAGCAATGTATAACACATAAATAGACCAATACATCATTACTGCACAGTGGGAACTATACTAAGTTAACAGTAAACAAAATAGAGTGGAAAACAGTGCTAATCACTTTCTCACTTAGTACAAGCACAGCCATCATGGGGAAGGATTTTGAAGCTAAAAATTTGACCAGTGGCGGTGCTTTGAAGTTTTCTTTGCTTACTATTTTCACTCTTTACCGTGGTTCCACTCATATGCATTAAAGCACTCATTTAGAAAGGCAAATTTTCTTTTTTATTCCAATAGAACATGCATATTATTATACTTTCTTCCCAAAATAAATATTACTTCATTGGTTCAAAGATTATAGCATCATTATTCATTCATTTATTTCCTATATTTGAAATTGCATATATTCAATATTTAAATAGCAATGCAACATGTTTTCCTACCATGACAATACCCACCAAGCAAAGTGGAAGGCATTGTCTCACTTGCCCAAAACACTATCCATGTGTTCAAAAAAATTTTTCATCTGCATAAACTTGTTCTCGGACCAATCACTAAATCCATTTCTTTCATTTTCTTTTTTTCTGTCAGCTAAGTACCATGCATTAAAGGGCTAGTAGCACTTTGTGGCAATAAATTGATTTCACCTATTTTTCATCATAGGTTCATTTGAGTTTCAAGTTTTCACCTGAACAACTAATGGCAAAGTTAAGTAGGGCCTATGAAGACATTAAGTTCACTAAGTCTACTTAATATTGAAACAGAGAAAATATCCCACTTCAATAAATATCCTGGTACTTCATATTGACATATATGGTAAAACTATTATTTCAGGAAAAAAAATATTGCAATTCATGGAAAATCTACTATCTTGTGGGACATAAATTCCTAGGAATGTTGTTTTCTTCTCAAAGCTTTACTCATTCCTCTTCCATTTGACATGGCATTTATGAAGGAGGAGCATAAGTTTCTTTGAATTCCCAATTCTCCAACATGGCATTACTTTAACCCCTTTGCAGTTACATTAGACTATGAACAAACTGCACCTCATACCCCTTGACTGCAAAGTCTGACTATATTTTCCTAATAGATCTTATTCCCATTAAACAATAAAAACATGTTATCAGAGTGAAAATATAGTTTTAAACTATCATAAAATATAAAATATATAAATTTTGGAATTTTTGTGTATAACTGACAATATTTAGGGGAAAAAACTATAAAGTATATATGCAGTGAAAGGGTTAATATATTCCCACACATCTCAATCAAATTCAATGTTTAAGTTTGTTTGGCATTTCAGAAGCCACTTGGAGCAAGCTCATGCACCTTGACCAGAGAAGAGATGGCATTCACATTCATGAAAGTGTGAAGAGATGTCAATACAAAAACGTTCATGCAATTTTACACTTTGCCAGGAATTTTCTTCCCAGGACCCTAATTTGTGTTTACTTTCAATTGTCAATATTAAAAAATTCTCATGCAAAATTAAAGGGTTTTAACTTAAGTGAAAAAGCTAGGCAAAACGTTCTATTTTTCAATCAGGATTGACCATGACTAGCTTCCAGACTCTGGGAGACACCCTTTAAAAATACTAAGCAGATATGTCTCACCTGCTATTGGGAAAAACTGGGAACCCATAATCATCATGATCTCTAACATCACAGAATGACTGCATCACAGGTATAACTCCAGCACTTGGAAGAGGTGAAACCAAGTACTCATCTGTTGGCAAGAAAATAGCACAGGTTAATATAAGACACACATTATGGAAGGCCAAGCCTACATACATACAATACACAGAGTGTGGAAGAAAGAAAAACAAGGACATCTTTTTCAAAGAGGAGTTTTCCATGACAAGCAAATCTATACAAAGAGCAATCATGAATAATCTGGCAACTCTTCCACTATACAAGGTGCAGTCAGAAAGTCCATGCTGTTAGCATCGTGTTGCACACAGCTAGCCTATGGCAGACATGTGTGACACTATCAAGCTCATCAATAGTGGTCGTAATCATTAGACCTTCGTCCTTTGCCTTTGGTAATTTTGTTGCTCGACAGCAACAAGACAATTTTCCGATTCCTTCACAAGTGTCTTTCTCTAGACTGGGTTAAAATATGAATTTCACAACTGAGGAACAAAGAGCTGTGGTGAAATTATCTGATTGGAAAGAAAAATGCATTAACATTCATTACCAGCTAAGGGAAGAGTGTGGGGATAATTGCCTTGCTGATAACACCTTCTGCATGTGAGTGAGGAAGTTAACAGCTGGAAGAGTTTCCACCAAAGACAAGCCCCATTCTGGAAGGCCTAGAACTGTGAGTTCTGACCAAAACATTCAAAGGGTGGAAGATCTGGTGATGTCAGACCAAGGCTTGTCCATTGATGACATTGCAGAAAGACTAGCATTTTCCCAAGAAACCATTGCAAAGATTCTTTCTGATGAGTTGAACATGAGCAAACATGCATGATGGGTGTTCTGCATGCTTTCCAAGGGCACAAAGCAAGGTGGTAAATATCCACAGACACATTTTTTAAGGTTGTAGTAAACATGAGATTGTTACATATGAGGGTCATTGACCTTTAAATATCTCTGAAACTAACTTTCAATGCACCCATTAAAACACAGATGAAATATTAGCTATGCATAACCTTTAAAGTAGTTTCCCCAAAGGTTCATAACAGAGTACCTCAGAGTGGCAATCATATATTAACATCAGAACTGTCATGGAACTCTTTGGGGTTTATTGGAAGATTGCACATAGGCAAGTGTCTTAGCACATTATAATCAATGAAAAAAAATTCCTTGCAATGACTTCTTGAAATGACCTCTGTATGAGAGTCCACATANTGTAATAATTGTTCATGAAATTCCGAGAACTTTCTTTCCAATCAGATAATTGCAGCACACAGAAAAACCAATTGGCATTCACCACCAGCTAGGGGGAGTATGCAATGATTGCTTTGCCAGTAATACCATCTGCAAGTGGGTGCAAGAGTTCATAGCTGGAAACAGCTATACTTTTTAGCTGGACCACAGATGTAAATTCAGACCCATTCCAGCTAGGAATCATCAGGGGGATCAGCATAAAAGTGACTTTCTCAAGAGGAGTCATGTGGATTGGTCACAAAGCATATCTCATAGTCCTTCCTTCCATGGAGGTGGATGTTGACCACCCAGGTTGCTGGCAACAGTGACTACAATAAATTAGGTATACTCCTAGGCATTCACAATAATGAGAAACACTTATTTTATTATCTTCTGGTTGAAGTTATAACAGACTGGCTGCTTCCAGTTCTTCAAAATTCCTCTGGCTATTGCAAAAAAACTTTGTGTAGTCTATATATTCAGTCATCCTGTGAATCATAGCAAAGTTTGGAATTGATGTTCATTTCATCATAGTGGACACAAGACACCATGTTTTTCTGGCAAGACATCTGCATGGAATTTCCTCAGCTGAACTATGAGGTACAGTCAAAAAGTCTATGCTGTGCAACTCAATCAAGGCCAATCAGTGGCTTTCATCTTTAGACCTTTGTCCTTCACCCTCAGTCATTTTGTTGCTATGACAGTAATAAGACAATCTTGGTGTGATTTTCTTATAGTGTCTTTTTCTAGACTGGATTAAAATGTGAATTTCATAATTGAGGAGTAAAGAGCAGTGGTGAAATTTATTGTGGCACACTAAGAAAAATGCATTAACATTCATTACCAGCTAAGGGAAGAGTGTGGGGATAATTGCCTTGCTGATAACACCTTCTGCATGTGAGTGAGGAAGTTAACAGCTGGAAGAGTTTCCACCAAAGACAAGCCCCATTCTGGAAGGCCTAGAACTGTGAGTTCTGACCAAAACATTCAAAGGGTGGAAGATCTGGTGATGTCAGACCAAGGCTTGTCCATTGATGACATTGCAGAAAGACTAGCATTTTCCCAAGAAACCATTGCAAAGATTCTTTCTGATGAGTTGAACATGAGCAAACATGCATGATGGGTGTTCTGCATGCTTTCCAAGGGCACAAAGCAAGGTGGTAAATATCCACAGACACATTTTTTAAGGTTGTAGTAAACATGAGATTGTTACATATGAGGGTCATTGACCTTTAAATATCTCTGAAACTAACTTTCAATGCACCCATTAAAACACAGATGAAATATTAGCTATGCATAACCTTTAAAGTAGTTTCCCCAAAGGTTCATAACAGAGTACCTCAGAGTGGCAATCATATATTAACATCAGAACTGTCATGGAACTCTTTGGGGTTTATTGGAAGATTGCACATAGGCAAGTGTCTTAGCACATTATAATCAATGAAAAAAAATTCCTTGCAATGACTTCTTGAAATGACCTCTGTATGAGAGTCCACATATGTTGACATACAGACATTGGTCTGGCTCTCAGACACTACTTAATGAATTTAATGAATAACTCACCTTTGGTTATTGATCACCCAGTGTGCTCATGTAGCAGGGTTGTTACAATGTTATTTTGTATAGTATATAAACAGACATAATGATCAATTGGCACAGATGTATGTGCACCAGTGACATCTCATACTAATTTTGGATGCAGAACAATTAAATCGATGAAGTTTTTGGTCTTCTGGCTGAACTATAGGAACTCATTTATCAATGGACAATTGTTTATCAGGCATTTTCCTATATTCTCCTTTAATTGTAATTGACCAGTCAAGATACAATAGTTCTGATACACAGACAATTGGACACTGCTCCAACAGTGTATTTTCTAGTAGCAATGCCTTTATAAAACCCCACAATGGGATTTTCATTTCTAAAAGATACTATCAGCAAAATAATGCAAAAATCATTTTTCAAATATTGAATTGTCTCACTTTCAAATAGTGAAAACCACATCATTTTAGTAGGTCTGACAGATCAATATTTAACACAGTGCCCCACAAAAACGAACATGATAGTACATGTTCAAATATAAGACTAGAAATCAACACAGGAAGTCTGAAAGGTCAACTCACTGGATCCAATTGGATATGCAGGCTGCTTCTTCCTTATGGCCATGAGAATGAAGAAAAGGACCAGAGGAATGGTCAATTCAAAAAGCAATACCACCTAAGAAGGAAAAATCACATTAAATGTATAAGTAAATTCCAAGAGAAATCTAACAGCAAGCTATGCAAAATGAAATTACTTTTAAAGCAGCTTTTAAGACCATATCTTTCATTCAGTCAGTCAAAACTGGAAAAAGTCTACAGTCTATGTCTATAAAGGAAAAGAGTTTTGAGGCAAATAGCTCACCAGTTTCCGACGTTTCAGGGTGATATTTTTCCACAACAAAAGTTTCAGCTGGTTCCAGAAGCCCATGTCTACAAGTTTCAGGAATTTCCCCTTCTCAAGCTGGTGGCTGGTCCATTCCACAGATGCCTTTTACATGAAAAGGCCTGAAATAGCCTTGAGTAATAACAACTTCCTTTGCTTTGAAATGTTAATAATGCCCATACATTCAGATACTCACTCTGTTATAATCACATATGCAAATCCATAGGTATATCAAAAAGTACAGAGGTGAGTTGAAAAAGCTATAACACCTATGGAAGAAACATTAAAAATATTAGTTAATGGCATAAGCAGTCTCAAAGGGCTAGAGACTAACACAACCATTACAAATTTTTGCTGATGATGCAAAGATATTCACAGTCCACCATTGAAGCTGCAACTCCAAGGAGTCAACCTGCCATATTGACTAAATTTAACACACTAACTCCCAGCAAGGTGACATGAAATCGATGAGAGTTTCTCGGACATACGAAAATTCTTCACAGAGAAAGCTCCCTCACTCTTAGCAATGAGAATCTCTATTAATACAATGTGGGCTGACCATCACATCTGCAGTGTTAATGTTTATGTGAAAAGTTAGCTTCGTCCTCCAGACATGTCACTTTCTGTGTTTCTGATCAGTTTTTCTTCTCTTCCCCCCAAAGAATGCCAGTCCACAGAGTGTTGAAAAGAAAGGCCATGCAAGTCAGTTTATTGTGCCTGTAAACCAATTGTGAATTTTTCAAAATAAGACTCTGAAGACTAGAACCCAGGCCCAAAAGTGTTAAGCATACATATTTCCGATGAAAGAAGTAACAAAGGCCTATAGAGCCAAAGTTAAAGGTGGTATGATTGCAAATCATTGTAAGGGCTGGGATCAAACCTTAGCCAGCAGGCCAACAGGCAAATACTCCAGGCCTAGTCCAACACAAAGACACTCCGGTGATAAGGTTATTCGGAAGGGGGTTCACGTTTTAGCTAGTGAAAGATTGTGCCTATGAGTACGCGTAGACTTGTGATAGCAAAATCATTTCAATATATGCAAGAATGTACGAAGTACGAATTTAAGTTCATGGCATCTCAAGCTTCCCAAAGCAGAGTTTTCTCATGTGCGGGAGCTGCCATATTGGTTCAATTGAATAGTCTTTTTTACATTGATTTTTCGATTCATTGCATCCCCCTATTGTGGCGAAAGGGGGAACAGTTATACTACGTGTGGATTGTATCGGGGGGGGGGGCACAATCAATTGAAAATCACAGGAAGAACTAAAGGTAGATTGTTTTTGGATTGAAATCGTACCCCCCCCCTCCCCCCCCTCTTGTATTGGAGAACGAAGAAAACACAACTTCCTGAGGATCCGCTTCAGAACATGATGCACGAAAGCACGCATGTCACTACCTACAATCAATGTAATCACTCCTATGTATTTGTATGAAAGGTGTATTTATGATATTTATGCAAACTCGCTAAGGTCGCGCCTTCGGCGCTTCATTATCCAGGATAGTGATTAATTCATAAATTCCTTTTCGAAGAGCAAAACTTATATAAAGTACATTCCTGTTGAAATATGTGCCATGAGGGGACGTAACCGAGACTTTTTTCATCGAAATCATTCCTCCGATGATTTTTTGCGTACCTAACTTCAAATCTCTTTCTGTGCCCCTTTTTGTCAGAGCGAAAAATATATATTGAAATACTTCCCTCCCATAATCTGCCATAGGGAACATTTTTCAAATGCAGGATATTTTCTGCACTCAACAATCGAACCGGTACTTCTGATCCGTCTCAATTTTCTATATTCTCTGTTTCATTGAATCGAAAAATATTCTGGAAAATACGCCTCTTGCAAAAAAAAGTGCCCTGAGGGGTTTTCCCTTATAAAAAAAAATATTTTTTAAACTGAAATCGGTACTCGGAGAACTCCAGGCTCGCCAAGTTTCAGCCTTACACGTTTGCCCTTTTCCCTGGTGCAAATATATTTCTGGAAAGGCGACCCACCAAAAAGCTGTGCCATGCACCAAGCAAAAATTGACATTTTCCTGAACTCAACATCACGTCAGTTATGCGTGTGCCATGTTCCACCTTTCTACAGGGTGTTAAGAAAGTTGTGTCCCGTCACAATATGCCTATAACCTCAGCAAAAATGTGAAAATCAGGAAATTTTTTTATACACAACAAAAAGGACAGTTAACTGATTTAGAATCACTTAATAGTTTTCAATATAGCCACCCTTGGTGCAAATGACAAGGTTCAGATGACCCATCAAAGCATCGACTGATTTTCGCAAGTCTTCCTGTGGAATTCTCTCCCCATTCTCTGTTCAGGGATAGCTTGAGAGAATCCAAAGAATGGCGTTTTGTAGCTTATTTTTTGCTCTCCAAGATGGACCATATTGAAAAATCTAAATCTGATTTTTTTCAAGCCACTCAGCATCAAGGGGCAGCTTCTGTAATGGTCTGGGCCATGATTACCGCACTCTACTCGTTTTCGAGCCTGAGAAGATGAAGGTCAACGCTGATGTTTACCGGAAAAGCATCCTGGAAGACTGCCTGGTTCCGTGAGCCACAATATATTTCGATGGAGGACTCCAGCAGGACTCAGGGCCAGCTCACAAGGCACGGATGACCCAGGAGTGACTGTGGACGAATGTCCCCGACTTCATTTCGATTTCACAATGGCCCCCTTACTACCCCAATGTGAACACCCTAAATTTTCCAATTTGGTCCATCTTGGAGAGCAAAGTGTGTGCTACAAAGCACTGTTCTTTGGATTCTCTCAAGCTATCCCTGAACCAAGAATCGGAGCGAATTCCACAGGAAGTCTGGCGAAAATCAGTCAATGCTTTCATGGGTGGTCTGAACCTTGTCATCCGTGCCAAGGGCGGCTATATTTAAAACTATTAAGTGATTCTAAATCAGTTAACTGTCCTTGTTATTGTGTATTTTAAAAATTTCCTGATTTTTAAATTTTT